GCCCATTAGCCAGTAAAATGGTGCTTTTCAGCCTCAGCCCTACCGAGTCAGGCTGCCGATCTCCGACGTGCCGTGGTTGCATCCTTGGCCCCCAAATCCTTCGAAAAAGCGTAGCCGCTGCAGTAAGTGCAGCATGAGAATTCTCTGCATTCTGCACGTTTCCCCCTGGGTGTGCTAGATCTTTTTGTGACCTTGCATGCTACAGCACTCTGGCTCTCACACTGCTCTCACCAATGGAGAGGCGTACCAGATAGAGGGAAAAGGGGGGGGTGGTGCTCGTTCCGCTGCCATGGGCGCACTGCTGTGACTGGCGATGCGCACCGTGGGATCGGTTGAATCGGTTGCACTCGTAGTTCACGATGCCTTCGGGAGGCTTCGCTTCAGCCTAACGCCTAGCCCTAGGAAAGATCCGAGCCGCGGTGCTCGCCTAGCCCCACAGCGAGGAACAAGTCCCACGATTTAGGGAGTCTTCGACAATGTCCGAGTACGAACATCCGTCCATCTGAAACTTCATGTGATGTTTGTGTTGTAGCTCTTCCTGCTGACACGTCGCTATCACGAGTGTCCAACTTGAAGTGAACCGTGTTCCGCGCATCCTGATTACGTGCCGTGCTGTCGACAGAGCACCATCCCTCTCCGTAGGCCGTTTCGTCAGTCGACTTGCGTATCGCGTTTTCCTCACGGTCCGGACTTTGTCGGCCTACTCAACGTCCGAAATGACCCATTGGCGGGCTTCCCATCGAGAGATTGGCAGACTGGTGTCTCCCATACTTTTTTCGAACGTGTACGCAGTAAGCAGCAACGAAGTGCTCGTGACGGCAGCAGGCGCCGTGATCGTCGGGGAACCGGAAACACAACACGCGCATTGCATATTCACCGTCGTACCGACCGGGTTACCCTGTTTGTCTCGGCTAAATTCGCGATTTTCTTGCTTTCCGACTTCCCTGGCTGATGCTCATGAATCCTGGCCAACCTCCGCTTTCCGCATGATTTGGCTCATCTTAGGCAGCTTTTAGATGCATCTCCAGCAAGTAGCGACGCAGCACTATTATGCTTTGACAAGAGGGCCCGGCCTTTGGCAAAGTTTGGCACTAGAGCAGAGTCAAGTCGTCTTCCGAGGCTCTTTCGGCATCTCGTGATACTCGCGGCTTATCAATGCAGTGCAACGGAGTCGTCTTCTGCTTCCTGCTTCCTCGTAGTCTGGCGTTGAACAAACCCCCCCTCCCCCCTTGTCCTTCGGGGCAGATGTGCTGGATGCTGGGATCCTTGCTTGTGTGTCCACTGTGAACCACCGGAACCTAGTCCCAAGACAGCGGTGGGTGCATGAAATGATAGACAACCTTTTTTTTTCTCTCTCTCTTGACTGCCAGGTGACCAGAAGAATGGAGATGGCTTCGTTTACACAAAACCACGTCCCATCCAATGGGCTCTCCGCAAAGGGGCCTGCCACGCCACGAAACGGCCCCGGGTGGCCTCGACCAGGGAGAAGCAAGCAAACGCCGGCACTCCATGCCGGAACTGTGCTTCGTTGTCTGGACCGCGTTGGTCCCCTTCGACGAGATCGCCCGGTAATCCCACTTTTCATCGGTGAGGCGATCAATCTTCCCTAGATAAAGGTCCACCCCGAGGCGGATCAGTTTGTCTCTCATGCCCCCACCTCAAACGCCGCGAGGACTGCATCGTCGCCCGTCTTGTCACTCAGCCGAGGCGCCAGAGAATGTCGTGCCCTGATATCACCTGCTTCGCAGACCACCATTCCGTAAACAAAGATGCGGCCTACTCGGGCCTTTCCGGCCGAAGGCCTAGCCAAATATGCATGTAATAAGGAACCGTCTCATGCTGGCTGCTGCTGGCCGTAGGTGCTGCTGCCGCTGCCTTCTGCTGCCCTAGGCACGCACAGCGCACCACACACACGCACACACGCACACACACACACCGGCACAAGTGAAAGGAAGTGTATCCCGAAAGAGAATAAAGAGGGTAAAAAAAAGAGGCCAGGCTCGGCCACGGCAGCCCTCCTCCTGCCCCTCCCCCTCGTCTCCTCGTTCCCTCCCTTGGCCAGGACTCTTGTGACTCCAGAGAGTAGAAAAGCGGGAGGAAGTGTGGCGTATCTGGCTGGGCGATTCCGTGTGGTTTCTCACACATATGTATGTGGCATTTTCCCGCGGCAGGCCAAGACGTCTGTCCCATTCGTCGCTCTGCGCGTCGCATATGCACGGCAATTGCAGCATGGTGTGTATGGGTGAATGTAACGTCAATGTCGCGGAAAATCGAGGCCCCCCCAGTCTGGTATTTATACGCACATGAACCGCACTCTATCTTGCGACGGCATTAAACCAGGACGGCCACCATCCAGGAACGAGACCCAGGGGAGGGACACACGACTACACCGTCACACCTCACAAGAGAGCGTACACACAAAGGACGGCGGCCGGCATTGGCCGCGGAACGGGACATCATGATGCGGATTGCAGTCGCCGGCGGACGAGGCCTCGGGTTCCTGCTGGCGACGGAACTAGCACAGGCGGCAAACGCTTACAACGTTGTTGTTTTATCACGATCTGTTGGGTTTTCCGCGCCACGTCTCCCATCGGGGCCCAGAGCTGTTTGCGTGTTAACCCTGCGACGCAGGCAAGACCCGAATTCGAACCGTTCGACGTCCAGGTCCACGTCGTGGACTACCACGACCACGGCAGCCTTGGGTATGCGCTTCAAGGAGTCGACCTGGTCATCTCGACGATATCCGGCGCCGAACAGCTCAACCTCATCGACGCCTCCGGGCGCGGGCGCGTCCGCATGTTTGTCCCCTCGGAGTTTGAAGGATCCCTCAGTCGACGGCCGTCACGGAACGATCCTTTGGACCGCGGATCGTCGCAGGCCCTCGCCTTGCTAAAACAGTGGTCCGAGTCCTCGCTAATGAAATACACCGTCTTCTCGTGCGGCCTCTTCATGGAGCGCTTCCATCCTTACGGGCTCGGGAGCACGTTCAACATTGGTCACGGCTCGGGCGTCGGCGGCGCTGGAGAGTTCCTCGTCAACTTCAGCATGGCCACGGCCGAGTATACGGAGCGAGATTCCAAGGGACATTCAGTGCGTGTCTGCCTGACATCGGTGTACGACGTGGTCCGGTTTGTCGTGGCAGCCGTCGACCTGGGGCCCTCGCACTGGCCCCATGAATTTACCATGTGCGGGGAGCGGATGACGGTTCGAGACCTCGTCAACGCATGCAGCACTGCTTCCAATAGTTAGTTCTGGCCCCTGCCTTGCCGCCCCAAGATGCTCAGACATGCTCGGACGCCTCACGCCAGGAAGAGCTGGCAGGTGACACAAAAAGCTAACAGAGATGTCGTCAGCGGTGTTTACGCGACATGTACACCAGTACGCGGAGCTGGAAGCCTACCTCAGCTACTCTGCCCAGCTGTGCGACTATGACAAGGTGGCATACTACCAGAGGCTCCTGGCGACGGCCAACGGGCGATACGACTTTTCTCAGGCGACGCTGAACGAGATCGTCAACCGCAGCAATAGCGTCCACGTCCAGCCAGTCACATTCAGCGCGTGGCTGGCGAGCATATGGACGCAAACATTCTGACGGGGAGCCACTGCATGGAGGCTTATTCCTTTCATTTCCCCCTCCTCCCACCTTTCTTTTCTTTTTCCTTCCCCTTGTTTTCTTGGCATCATTTTTGTCATCAACTGGACCAGGCGTTGCGTTTGGGCTTGCTTTCTTCTGCAGGCCTCGATGGGAATAGTATAGTGAACAAGTTCATGGGATAAACTGAGCATAGGGCCAACGAGCTGGAGCGATGGAACACGACAAGGAAGGGAAAAGAAAAACAAAAACATTCAACAAATAGCGGCATTACCTTGCGTCTTGGAGCACTTGCTCGCAAACAGCCTGTAACAGATAGACACGAGCCTCCTCCCCTAGGGCGCGAGGAGCATTCTGCACAAACGGTTAGTAGCAATATGGGAACGGGATGGAAAATAGCATGATACCCAAATCCAATCTCCACAAACTGCAGCAACCAAGCCGAGGAGTGATGGGCAGCCGACGGGAGCGGCCCCAGCAAGCGCCGACGACGTGACCCAGCCAGTATCAACGAGCAGGCATGCAAACATGGCAGGCAGATGGCTTCATTTCCTCTTGCTTCGGTGATTCGTCTGCTCGCCCCCGGATGTCTCAGACGTGCAGCCACTCTCCCCGTCAGCACTCACCGGTTGTCGATCTAGTAGTCGCTTTTTTTCTCCTTTGCGCTGCTGGCAGGCGGCCATTGGACGACGACGAGCCCGCGCCGAAGCCACCAGAAAAGGCCGTCGAGAGACACGGTCTCAAACATGTCTTGAGAAGGTCATCTGAATTGTGATAGAATAAAAGGAAAGAAACAGAAAAGATTGAGGTCGTCGAGTGTCTGTATTTTATCGGCGAGTTTTTTTGTTTTGTTGGTAGGAAGAGGGAAGAGAAAAGATTGAGGGCAGGTGATGAGCGAGCTGAAAAAAATAGGCCAGGGAAGATGGGCGGATTAGGAAAGACAGGGACAAGGTTGCTTGGCTGCACCTGCCGTTGGTGGCTGCATCTACCCACGAATGGACCTCTGGACCTCCTCCATACAAAACCGGTGAGGTAATTATGAACGAAAACACGAGCATGAACACTTGCACATGTCATCATTGTGACTCTTGAGGCCGCGGTCAATTGGCGGGTCGAGATGATGCGGAATGCAGCAGCGTGAGCCGATTCAACGGCAGTTATACTACGGGAAAGCTCTGCTTGGACACGAAAGAGGACTGCGATACCGTAGCTGATTAGGTTCGATACTATGGGGATGCAAATAGTGCCAACTTGTCCTAGATAGTCCAATATATAAGATACTCTATATGAAGGTATATATATGCTCTATATATATATATCAGTATACTGTAATAGGTAGTCTACCAAAACATCTGTCTAGGTATACAGCATTCTAGATTAACCCCGACTAGTATAACATGCATTGCTGCTACGCCTTTGCCTCGTCCCCAAACTCCTCCCCAAACTCGTCGACAATCCACAGGCAAAACTTCTCCCACTCCACCTGCCACTCCCTCAACCGCTCCGCCTTGAGGCCGCTCCCCAGGCTCGCCTCCCTGATGCCCTTGACCCACTGCTCCTGGTTCTGGTCCTCAAAGGTGGACCACCGGACGCTGTTCTCCGCGAGGCTGCCCAGTCCAGCGAGGCCCAGGTTCTCCCAGCCCTGCAGGGCCTGCCAAAAGTCGTGAGACATGCCCGCCGTGTCCTGTCCCAGCATGGCCGGGTCGTCGTTGCAGAGGCTGCACGCGACTCCGCGGGCGAGGAGCGCCGGCAGGGGATGGGCCATGACGGATCCGCAGAGCCGGAGGACCTCGTTGGAGATGGGGCACGATTCGATGAGGATGCGCTTGTCCTTTACCATGTCGATGAGGAGCGGGTGCTTGTACAGACTGAAGCCGTGGCCGATGCGGCGGGTGCCCAGCAATATGGCGTCAAACAGGTTGTTGTCGGTGCTAGAGCCGTCGCCAAGCGTCTCTCCGGCGTGAAAGTAAAACGGCAGGTTGACGCCCTCCTGTGCGGCCTGCTTTCGGAACCAGAACAGCTCGGGCAGTAAGTCGGTCAGCGGCTTGCCAAGATCCTCGGGCCCGACGAGGTCGTATCCCGCGATGAGATGGGGAAACTCCATCTTCGTGGTGATGCAGTGGTCCATGTTCTCGATGATGCGCCGCGTCTCGAAACTCCGGAGGGTCGTCCAGATAATGGTGAGGCCCCAGAAGCCCTTGCCTTCCTCTGACGCCTTGAATCTTGCAACTTCCTCTTCAATGACTGTAAACATGTGGCTGTAGTCAGTTTCGCACTCCTCGCGGCGATCACGGCAATAATCAAGCGGCCATGTGAAGCTGCATGCAAGCGTGTTAGCCTAGAATCGGCCTGAGGCCATGTCATTAAATCCACATGGTCACGGGATATTCATACCGAAGCTCAGCCCAATTCACCCCATCAGCCTTGAGAAGACTCATGAGGCGCCGCAGAAAGGCGCGGAACATGGGCTCGTAGTGTATCATGGTGGCCACCACCACGAAGCACTTTGAAAACTTTTCCCAGATGGCGTTGATCCCGTGGTGCTGCTCATGGCTGTCGACGAGTGAGAGCGTGCACCGGCTCTTGAGCCACTTTAGAAAGCCCTGCCGCCCGCCCTCGGGAAAGTCGTCGGCCATCTTGGTGAGCAGCAGAAACGAGCCCGGCTCGTAGCTCGGCTCCCATATCGAGCCGTCCACCCGCTCCTTGGCCCGGTACCTGAAGCGCAGCACGGCGTTTTCCCTCCTCTCGTCGCTGTCGAGGGGCACATTGCTGGTCATGTGCATGCCGGGGGTGTTGAGGAGCTCGTTGAGGATAAAGTCAAAGTCGACCATGGCGTCCATGTGGGCGTGCAGCAGGCTCCCCTTGGGCATGCGGCGCACAATCTTCCACAGCTTGGTCTGCTCCATGCGCTCCTTGGCCATCATGAACATCATGCCCGGGAAGATGCTCGACTTGGTCTCGCGCGCCAGCTGCTCCTCGACGCCGGGCGTCCAGATGGTCGCCTGTTCATGGGCGCGAATGCGGTCGACGATGGCGCAGGCGCGTCTAGCGATGGGCGTCAGCGACTTGCGGAACGACGCATCCGCTCTCGTCTCCTTCTCCTTGCTGATGAGGCTCTCGCGCCCCGTCAGATACTGCTGCAAAAAGGGATCCGACGTGGACGGAATGTCTCGCGACAGCTCCTCCCAGAGCTCGTCAGCCGTAGGCATCTTTGGGCGTGGTTGTTGTTTGCACGTGTATCGCAGTTCCAGCCGTCACGGATGCTCACGAAGAAGGGGATTTGAATAAGGGGGCGAGAGACGAGGGTGTGAGTCGGTTAGTATCAAGGTTATGAGGATGAAACAGGATGCGAATAGGAGACGGATGGAATAAGATTGAAGTGCAAATGCAGACCGCCTCTGAATAGCGGAGTTCGTGGGCCGGTTATGCAGCCTTATCAGGGACGGAAGCGGCGCCGAGGCTGTCTGGAATCCCGGCGATTGGTAGCTCCGGGCTCTCGGCCGGGGGCCGTTGAATATCGACGATTGAGTGCGAGGCAGCCAGCAATGAGTCACGGCTGAGGGCGCAGTTGAATCTCTATCGTGGTTGAAGAGTTCAAGTTGCTCAGCTGGACAGCTGCGGTGAAGATGCGTGCAATAAGTTCGCCCTGCTCGCCCTACGCAAGCCGTTTTCCCGTTAGGATATTCACGGCTAGACTCGCCTGTGGCTTGATAGATCGTACCGCTGTTATGTAACGAGTATGAGGTAGTATGAGGGGAGGCCAGGATGAAGGAAAAAGCCAGTCATACCTACATACATGTAGTAGTAGGTATGTACATAAAATGCTCTTGTGCCATGTGAAAACCACGTTTGAAATTGCCCTCGCCAGCTTCATTTGGCCCAAGTCAAACAAAATGAATGTCTCACCACCCCACACTCAGCCCGGTCCATCATTTACTGACAAGGGGGACATTCTCCCGTCCAGCTGCCCGCAGAGTCATACGGCAAACTTTTAGTCCGATATCCAACAAAAAAGCGTGCGGTGTAACAAGTTGTCCGATCGTCTGTGTCAATCTCTTCTGAAGCCAGCGTAAAGCCAATCATATGGGTGCAAAGTAACCATTCGCTCATTGAATCCATCCTCTTACCGTGATAGACCGAAAAAAAATCACATCCAAACCCCTGCACCCCAAACAAAACAGCCATTAGCAGCCCGCAACACGGTCATCTTCCCCTCACTAACAGAATCCCCCCTCGTCCATCACCACATCAGATGAGAGAACTCTTCCGCCCAGCCATTCACGTTTCTTGACAACCCTATTGATCGAGATCCATGTGCCCTCAGAGCAGGGGAATTTGCGCTACCGGGGCTTGAAGCTAGACATGCTCTCGATGCTGATTCGCCATCTGGCACGTCCACCCATGTTGCTCTGAAGGATATCACAGGCTGACAGGGCGCTTAGAGCCTCTTCTTCTTTGCTTTACCAACAGCCGAAACGACTGTGCCCTTGTCCCCTTGTGCTTTGATCCGCGTGTGGAGTTGGATGTGTTCAGTGCCATTCAGATGTCTCGGTTTCAGATGCCATGTGCCGTGACCGTTGTGATGATAGACTTTTGTTCGAATGTTTGCACACTCCGAAATATTCTTAGCTTCCCTCTTTTGGTCAATGTGACGAGATGAGCAGAGGTTTGGTCCCAACTCCCTTCGCAGCTGGTCTGATGTGACCTAGCGTTGGTGAAAGCCCAAAACACGATCCTGATGCTGTTGTGATTCAAGTATAAATGGCCTCTCATGTCCTCTGTTCAAGGTGTATCAAAAGTTGCCATCATCTCGCCGATGCTTCTTCACATACCAACTGGAGATACATCACAGCTATATCAGCATCACTCGTCACCCATACAAAGCATCACCACCACCACCACCCAGACCACACAATGCTCACCTCCAATCTCCTCCTCTTCCTCCTCACCTCCCTCTCCTCCGCCGCCGTCATCCCAAGAGATTACGACGTCCCCCCTGGCTACTGCTGCTTCACCCTCTCCGACCCATCCACAAGCAAGACCATTCAGCAGAACAAAGAATATGGCTTCCTCTACTTTGACGCCAACCAGCCAAAGGGATGGTACTGCTTCAACTCCGCTGACTCACGGCCTATCCTGTGGGACGACTTCAACAACGCCTGCATCATTTCCTGGGATGGGCATTTCCAGTGCCTTGACCCTACGCCTGGTAATGATAAGTGGACGCTAGGTGGTAGCAGCAGCAGCAGCAGTCCTTTGTTGCTGCATGATAGCTCTCCGACTTATCAGGCATGTCCTAACAAGGACGGGGGCGAAATCATTTCGTCCGGAGCTCCAACAGCGGCCGGATGTAGGAATGTCCAGTTGGTGGCTACTGGTCTGGAGGGGACATGCTCGAGCTTGACTCGCTGAGAGTCGGATGGAAGCCCTTTTGATGCTTTCGCCGTCTCTGAGAAGCTACAGAAATAGAGATGGACGTAGATGCTTGTATTAACAGTTCTTTTCATGTATATATTCATACACCTCCCGAGTGTAGGCCACCTAGAATACTTTCCAACATTTCAAAATTGAGATGCAAATCAGCGCATACACTTACCGCCAGAGTAGTAATGCAAGTTCGTAACCAATTTTCCTATATCCCATACAGGTCTCCTCTCAGCAGATACCTCTCCCGTCACAATCTGTTTACAATTTCGAAATCTCCCTGCTCACAGCCTCCGCCTCCTCGACACCATAGACAATAGCCAAGTCCCTCTTGAGCTCCTCCGCCGTCGTATCTCTCTGCCTCTTCTCCTTGGCAAACTTTTCCTGAACAAAGCGACGGAAGATCTCCTTGGCCGCCTCGTTCCCATCGGTACTGGCATCAACATAGAGCAGCAAGGAAATGAGAAGCTCAGCAATGTCCCACAGAATCTCCCTGCCCTCGCCGACCAAGTCGCCCTGCGTCTTATCGTCAATGTACCACCGCAAGGCAGACCACTTGGATACAGGATCCCATTCGGGGGGCTTCTTAACGGCGTCGGTTTGGAGCCCATACGCGTTCTTGATGAAGTTGTCAAGGGCATCCAGCGACCGGGTTCCCGACTGAGGGTGCTTGAGGACGCGGATCATGTCCGTGCACAAGACGTCGGTGGTGCCCTCCCAGATGGGCAACACGCAGCAGTCGCGGTAGAGGCGGGCAATGTTGAGATACTCCTGCTCTTCGTTGACGAGGTAGCCCACGCCGCCGAGTGACTCCATGCACGAGTAGAGCAGAGGGACGGCGGCCTTGCACACGTAGGCCTTGGCGAGGGGCACGACGATGCGCAAGAGAGGATCAATGTAGTGGTTCGCCGGCGTGAGAGCGGCCAGAGCCGAGGTCGGTGGCGTCGCCTCGTGCTCCGAAATGCCCAGGAGATAGCCGCAAAAGTTGCTCAGGAGCATCAGTCCGTGATACTCGGCGGTCAAATTGGCCAGGGTGCGCATATGCAGCGTGCTCTCGGTCAGCTTCATCCGGGCACCGCGACCAGCCCCGACCTCCCGTCGTCGAGCATACGCCCTTGCAATACCCAACCCTCGACCGACATAGCCGCAGGCCGTGATCACGTTGTGGATCCTGGTCAGCGTCAAGATGGTGCTGATCTCCTGAATACCCCTTCCCTCTTCACCAATCAGCCAGCCGCGCATATCTTCAAGCACGAGCTCGGCAGTAGGGAGCGACTGCGTGCCCAGCTTATTCTTGAGCCGCTGGATCCAGACGCCGTTGAGTCGAGTTCCATCAGACTTGGGGTGCCCGGTCATGGTTTTGGCGGTAGGGTCGTGTCGCCGCATGGGCGCAAAGAAGGTGCTGAGCCCGCCGTGCGACGTACGTGCAAGCAGAACCGTCATGTCGGAGTCTGTCGCGGACGAGAACCACTTGAATCCGCTGATGCTCCAGGGCCCAAGGGGAATCTTGCCTTCTTTAGACGCGAGCTGGCCCTCGGCTCCCTCGGGCTTGTAGACGGCAACGGTCTCGGTCTGCGATACGTCGCTGCCTCCAGAGCGTTCCGTCATCCACTGGCCGCTGGTCCAGGCGACGCTCGGGTCGCGTGAAATGAGGCGGCGATAGGCGTCTTCAAAGACCTTGCGCTCGGTCTCGGTGAGACGCCTGGACGCCAGATGCTTCCTCAGCAGAGCTGCCGCGCCGTCCTGCATCGCCGACGGGCAGGTCACGTTGGCAGACGAGGCCTCCCAGAGATGCAGACGCAGGTATTGCAGCGGGCGAGAGAATGCGCCGTACGGCGTGTCGTAGCCGGTGGCAACGATGCTAAGGCGGCTCACATCAACAACTGCACACGCAAGAGGACATCAGCTGGTGCGATACTTACCCCCTAGAGAGGCCAAACTTTTGCAACTGCCTCCATCCCTCGCCAGTCACCAGCTCACCTTGCAGTCTGCCAAAGGCATCCCGGCCGCTCCCCTTGAGGTAGGGCTTGTTTCGCTCGGCATCCGTGATCCAGGCAAACACTTCGTCCGAGAGGACATCCCTCCCCAGAGCAGCAACTTCCGCCTCGACTTCGGTTATAACACTGAAAGGGAGAAATACTTTTACGAGCAACGTTAGCGGGCCAATTGCAGTGCAGAGACGACTTGGAGCGATGGTTGTGTTGGGCGACGACGAGCCACTGTGTATGTGTGTGCTGGCACATGTAGGAGTGTTTACATGTGTGGTGCCCCATCACTTCAAGGGGGGACCTTCACTCACGTTTGAAGCATCTGCGAAAGGAAACATCGTCATAGAACTGGTTCGGCAAAATCGGGGCGGGCTGGAAGAAACCCTTGTTCGCCCCCGAGGGCTCCATGATCAGACGCGAGTAATGCTACCAGGAGGCACAGGAGGGAGCAGGCAAAGCAAACAAGCGGGATGCCGGGATTCGCGTCTGTCGCGCAGGCAAATAGGGAGCAGGGAGGGAGAGGAAATGAATGGCCGGGGAACTGGCTGAAGGAGGAGAGGACGCAATCAGACAGACAGACAGACTGATGATGTGCATGCAATGCAGCTGTACTTGTATTGAAGCAGCAAAGCCGCAGAGGGGGGACGAGACAATTCGGCGGCAGAGAGTTTAATTGCCAGCTCAGCTTACATGGAGTGTTCATGTAAGATGCAAGTTGGGCGGGCTTTGAGTCGGTTCGTGGGCGGGTCGATTGGGGACGAGGGTGGAGAGGCGACTGGGGGTCAGCCGAGGCTCGAGCCGGGGCAGCAGACGGCTGATGCACGAGATGGAGAGATGGCAGCTGAAGACGAGGCGGAACGGTTCCGTTTGACTGCGAACAAGTCGGTTCTCGAAGCTGCTGAAGAGGAATATCAGTTGCGTGAATGCGAGGTGCTGAAAAGCAGTTATTGTTACAGCACACAAGAGTGATTGAGCTTGGACACCGTACAAAGTAATAAGGTAGAGCTTCAACACCTGGACCATCAGATGGTCACAGGAGAGTGTGCTAGAGAAGAGGCTGACTTCCACAGTCATGAGTCGGTCAATCAATCGAATTGATCTGTAATTTATCTTGGAGGATACAATATGCATTTCATTGAACCCCGGGGCAATGGTAGAAAGTATTCAATTGTGTGACAGTCGAGATGGATGGGTTGAGCGAGGTTGGAGCAACTGTCTCACATTTCTACTACTACAGCACTTCCATGTCGCTGTATTGAAGAGTATTTTGACATGTCGAGTTAGCAGACTCAAGATTTAATATATTACTCAACATCTTCTCCTGTAGACTCCAGCTGTGGCTGCTGCGTCTTCTTCCAAGGTAGCGGGATGAATAGCCAGACAAGCAGCAACGGCGGCATGTGGGCGACACAATAGCGGCCCCATCCTCGTGCATCTGCCCCGGATTCTCCAAATTTCGAATCTCACGCCTTCACGACTCCCTCATTTCTTCACCCCCCGAAGCCGTCTGGCCTACAAGTGACCCTCACACCATGGCCGTCAAGTGAATTGCCTCGACAATGCGCACATCACGAATCTCCAAAGACACGGCCAAGCTCCTCAAGCGCGCCGCACACTCACCCTCGCCACCACGACGCACGACGCGGTCCTCCCTCGCCCGCTTCGCCCTCAATGCGGCCTCTTCGAGCGCGACGACGACGACGACGACCGTGAATGGCGCCGGTCCGCAGATGCCCGACATCGAAGACAGCGTCAGCCCGCCGCCAAGGAAGCGAAGGCGAGGCTCCGACGCCTCGTTCTCCGCTGACTTGGTCAAGGCCGAGCTCGACGACGACGAGGAGGAGGAAGATGACAAGCTCGACGCGATGGCTGCGGCCCCCTCGAGAAGCTCAACGCGCCGCGCTCGCAAGCCCGCGCGCAAAGTCGCCGATCCGAAGACCGGCGAACCGTCCGTCTCTCCGCCGTCCGACTGGGAAGAAATGTACGACGTGGTGAGGAAGATGCGAGCCCCCGGCGGCGTGGCGCACGGCGCGGCCGTGGACACCATGGGCTGCGAGCGACTGGCCGATCCGAACGCGTCGCCAAAGGACCAGAGGCTGCACTCGCTGATTGCGCTGATGCTGTCTAGCCAGACAAAGGACACGGTCACGGCGGTGGTGATGCGGAGGCTACAGACGGAACTGCCGGCATGCAGGCCGGGAGCGCCGGTGGGCTTGAACCTGGACAATCTGCTGGCGGTGGATGCGAATCTGCTCAACCAGATGATTTGGGCAGTTGGCTTCCACAATAACAAGACCAAGTTTGTTCCACCTTGTTTATTTACTCCTTTTCTTTTCATTTCTTCACGTTGCATGTCTAGATACTACGCTGGCCAACGTTGGGATTGCTAATCGTCTTTCTCTCTTTCTTCTCTACGCAGGTACATCAAGAAAGCCGCCGAGATCCTCCGCGACGAATGGAACGGCGACATCCCCGACACCGTCGAGGGCCTGACGTCGCTGCCCGGCGTGGGCCCCAAGATGGCCTACCTCTGCCTGTCGGTGGCCTGGAACCGCACCGAGGGCATCGGCGTCGACGTGCACGTCCACCGCATCACCAACATGTGGGGGTGGCACAAGACCAAGAACCCCGAGGAGACGCGGCTGGCCCTGCAGTCGTGGCTGCCGCGGGACCGCTGGCGCGAGATCAACGGCCTGCTGGTGGGCTTGGGCCAGAGCGTGTGTCTCCCCGTGGGACGGCGGTGCGGCGAGTGCGACTTGGGGCTGCAGGGGCTTTGCAAGGCGGCGGAGAGGAAGAAGGTGATTGAGGGGAGGAGGGTCAAGACGGAGGTGGTCAAGCAGGAGGTGGTCAAGGGTGAGGATGGGGCCGAGGAGAAGACGACGATCAAGGCGATCAAGGAGGAGACGGTCAAGGTGGAACGAGAAGACGCGCCTGGGGTTGGCGGCGGCGGCAGCACAGCGGTCAAGGTTGAAGCCATCGTCAAGCAAGAGGTCAAGGTCAAGCAAGAGCAGGACGACTAACAAAAGATAACGAGCCGTCGTATGGGCAGCAAACACATCACATGGCGCCGCCCCCCCGGCCGTCGCCCGCAGATCAATCACCAGCGTCCCGTGGAGGTTATTTTTGTGCGGTCTGCCACGTAGCACAACCACTTGTAAGCACATTACTGGCCTTTTCTCTAGGTAGACTCTGCTTGTTTGTTGAGTCCTTGCAGCAATCACACTCTAAGGTGGAAAAGAATCAAGACGTTATGGATGTATGTACTATATATATAATATGAGTTGTACGAAGTAATGATAGATAGATAGACAACGCACCGCACAGCACATTGAACTAGTATCGTCTTACAAAATGTTGCGTTCCGTGTATGCGGTGCTGGGTGCCACTGCACGGTTGATTCATTCAATGGCATGTGAGAGAGTGTGCGTGTGTCATGCCGGCTTATCTCCCCCCTTCATACATGCACTCCATACTGTATAGATGTTGGTTTGACGACAAGAGGCAGGGAATCCGTGAGAGTGCACTGGGCCGTTATGACAACTTCGGCCCGCAGCCACTGCAAATGAAGAGCAACACGTCAATGCATCAAAGTGACGAGCTTTGCTTTTTTTATTTTGCTTGTTCTTAATCAAACCGGGGGTCAGTCGGAGGCTTGTGGCGGGCAGCCGAAATCACCAGCCCCGCCGAAAGCGCAGCAATAAGATACCTACCTACTGTACGTCAAAAGCATTTGGGCATGGGAGTCAGTAAGAGAAGCTGGCTTCCAGATTGATTGTCATAGTCATAGTACTTGTACGAAAGTGTAGAGTCAGACTGACGAATGAGTTACTGATGATGACGGACGACGGAGCCGGCGGAGAGAGACCGAGAAAGAGAGAGAGAGAGGGAGTGAGAGGAGAGGAGAAAAGAGAATGCGCCACCTCACGAGACAATTGCCTCTTGCGTCTTCGGGACGCCGCATCACGGCATCTGCCGGAGCTCTATCGGCTGGAGCGTCTGTGTTTCCGAAATGCGGTGAAGATACACATGGTTTTCAAGATGTTTGTATAATGTTTGTTTCTTTGGTTATATTCGAACGAAAAAAAAAGCTTCATGGTTGAAATCAACAGCTGGCTCCCAAACGGTTTCCCCTAGTAAATGTACCCCAATACTCCGCGGCGATAAAGGCTGTTCCGGCTGGGAACAGTCCGAAATGGAAACATAAAAAATAGAGCAAATCAAAGAGTCGCGATATACACAAAAACACGAGAGGGCGAAATACCCATCTCCTGTGCTGGGGCTGTTCCTCCTCTTTGGAAATCAGAGGCAGATCTCGCGGATGCAGATCCCTAATATCGCCTCCCCCCCTCGCTCCGAAGAGTGTAGAATTCGATTTGTTTGGTTGGTTTCATGTAATCATAGTCTGCGAGACATCCTGAATTTGGCGCCCGTGGGCGTAAACTCATGATGGTGGGGTGAGAATGGTAGAATTGGCGAAGTGTAGGAGATGCGGTAATTAGAAGACGGCCCCGGGGGTGGTTGGTGTTGGGACGATGGCTGTCGGGAGCGAGGAGGAGGTTGCAAGGATGTTGGCGATCCGAGTGTGTCATTTAGACGCCGCGGATGACCTGGGTCCGCTCGGCCTCCAGCTGGGCAGCGTTGCGCGCGTGGGACTGCTTCTTGCACTGCAGATCGACAGTCAGTAGCTGTAGAAAACAGAATGATCCAAAGGGCGGTGATGTGAGAGACAAGCGGAGAGGCACAGAAAATGCCTGAGGCGAGTGCTGTTCAAGGGGGGAGGAAGGGGAAAGGGAAACGCAGATGAAACGTACGTCTTCCAGGCCGCTGCACTTGTGGTCCTCCAACAGGCGGTGCTTCCCGCAGAAGTGGCCGTTGCAAAAGGTGCAGTCGCCGACGATGCGCTGAGCAGGCTCTCGGCACTCCTTGGCGTTGCAGCGAAGCTTCTTGGGCATGATGGGCGAGAGTTGAGAAGAAGAAGAAGAAGTTGAAGGAAGAGAGAGAGAGAGAGACGACGGTCTGAGGAGGAAGAGTGGCGGAAGCGGTGACGGCGCTCTAGTCGTGTGACGCCTTTGTTGCTCGCAGCGAGTTGTTGTTGTGGTTCCTTTGGCTTGAGGGATGGGCGAAAGGGGGGAGAGAGAGAGAGAGAGAGCGAGAAAGAGAGTTGTGAGGAAAACCGGACGCCCGTCGGGGATATAAATACTTTCCCAAGAGATGAAGGCAAAAGGAAAAAGGGAACGCAGAATGAGTTGGTTATTCGCTGGCGGAAACGACGCAAGGAAGACAGCCTGAGCCTTTTTGAGTCAGCAAACGACACTTGCGCCGAAAGGCGGCGACGGCGCAAGGCTTTATACGTATCGCCAATCCCGAGGCGAATGGCGAACGAACGAACGAAACGCACGACCAAAGACCGGGACCAAAGACCAGATGGACCCCCAAAAGGGCCCCAGGATACATCACTTGTACATGGCAAAGTTGCGTTGGAGTGCGTCGAGGCGGCGGGACGGACATGGGGGGGAGGCGTGTGATTTTGCCTCCCTCCTCCTCCTCCTCCCCCTCTTGACACACGCCCCCTTGGCTAGTACAAAGTATTCGTACGAGCTTCTTTCGCTGGGAGATGGGAATTTGATGGCTTTTTGGGCGCTACTATCTGGGACCAAGTCCCGTTTGGCATCTCCCCTAGACGGGACGAGAAGGCGGTGGAATCTGGCTGAGAGGAGGGGAGGGGCGTGGGCGGGCGTCTAAAGGTACCAGATAGTACGGATATTAGCCCTGATAATAGCAGCGAGAGAAGTGCTGGAGGTTTTGGTCATGAGCGGGCGTTTTGTAATAGCGAGTCGTTCGTTCTTTTTTGCCTAAGGTAATCCTGATTCTACAGCCTTCTATTCTCCGCCTTTTCTGTCAAGACTGTGCGATAATCACAATAATACCTGGCCTTGAGCATCTTCATGTTCGCCTCTCCATGTCTCTCTCCTCGGTATGCAGTCGAGGAATTTGGGGGTTTTCCCTCTGGGTAAAACAGAGACCGCCTCGGCTATCCATCCAGCTGGCAGAATCAACTGATCAATTTGCACCCAAAGAGGCGGCCAGGGGGGGTGAGTGGTTGGACGGCGGCGGGTCTCCGGAAAGAGGAGAGAGCAGCAGCTGAACAGGCTACATGTAATACATGGAGTGTACATATACTACTAAATGCATTTGCCAGGGCTGTCTGTAGGTACACGTGTGTGAATCGACCAGCAGTGTGCTCCAGGTAGGTTGATTGATACCTGATGTACTTCGTACTCGAGAATGAGACGGAGGAGAGGAGAGGGAACATGATACTAATACGACTTCTCGTCAGTCAGCCATCAGTCCATTTTCCACCCAAGAGCCCGCACTGGTTTCGGGACGCTCGCACCGGGCTGGCAATGTGACCCCCCCGACACGGATACGACCAGTTGATAAACGCACCGGCCTGTGTTACTACCTACTGATGTACTTCGTACCGCCAGCCGCTCTGCTTTCAGTTCTCGGGTTCTTCTTTTTGCTTTGACTGTGCTGCGGCTGCTGCTGCTGCTGCTGTGCTGCGCTCGAAACGCCACTGCCGGGGGAAGCGATTGGGCGATTCAGCACTTGACCGAACGAGTTAACACCTTAAGGTCCCCTACCTGTACCTCTCTGGGTGCCGTACCGTAATACGGGGTATGACCGGTGCATGTTCTGCTCTTTGCACGCATCTCCGAAAGCGGCAGTGACGTCGTGATCGCGAAACGCTTCGGGGCCTGTGGCTTTTTCGGCGGCGCTTGTCAATGATGGGATTGCAGAGCCGCGGTTTTTTGACTTGAGGAAGTCCGGTCGAATCGATTTGGGGGAGAAGGAATTCATTGTTTGCCAGCCGAAAAGGCAAAAACTACCAGACCTATCTTGGGACACACCACCAGTTCTGCTTACATCGTTGGGCTGTTGATTGGCGCTCGTAACGATGCCACGGCAGGATGCAGTGCGAGCGCGCTATTGAACGCCTGGGAGCGGTTTTTCAATCAATGCTTGTCAAGCCGGTCTTTGGTATGCTTGGGAGAGGGGGTTTTGTTGGTTGGGTTGCTGGTCTACGGCCGATGGCGCAGATTCTCAGAGTTGGGCATCTCTTGTCGCCTCGCCTTGGGTCGCCAAATGATGCCCATCCATCGCTTATGTATTCGCATTCGACATGAGCATGAGTCTTGACACTCTGCGCATGCCGCCCTCCAGAATCCCACCCCATGTCCAGCGAACAGCACAACGCATCGACATCAACAACCCCATCAAATCAGCATCACACATCCACCCCCCAGTCAACAAGACTACTAGCATCATGAATAGTCACCACGGCTAGCGAACACGTATCGGTGGACCCTCGATGCCATGTCCAATGCGAATGAATGCCGTGTCATGTAATAGTGCCCATGTATCGCAGTATGTATGTACGTACGACGACGCTTGTGATGGGTTTCCGTCTCGATACACACATCGTGGGGAACTTCATGTACGCGGCTGGGTCCCTTCTTTTTGGGCGCACCCACCCCAGACGCATCGCAATCGTCGCAATCGCATCGCACCGCACCGCACCCGTATCGTATCGCGGCATCCATCCCTCCATCGTGGCCCAATTCGGGTGCCGGTGGTGGGTAGCCAAGTGATTAAAACCGGCCGATGTTTGCATCACGGCACCCCCTTCCTATTCTTGTCGCCCGTGCATCGACATGGACGCAGCCGTGACACGCACACGGCGCAAGCCAATATAATACTCCGTAGCGACTTGTCCCAAGCGATTCCATTATTCCCCTTCAGGACGTTTCCCTGCATGCGCAAGGCTCCACGACCGCTGCGTTGGGGGAGGACGAGGGGGGGGGGGGGGCGTGTCAAGGGGAAGGGAAACAGAAAATGGCCACGATGGTCGCGTGCGTGCCACCAAAGAACTGACAGAAGCATTTCCACAGCAGGACAAAAGCAGGTACCTTTCAAGTACCTACCTAAGGAACGGCAGATGCAGTGCAATCACCACCAACAAAGGGCCACGCGCAGAGCAGATCCAACATCATTTGCCAGCCGGCACTTGAGAGAGAGGGTTCTGCATATCCCAATATTCTCAGCGCCTCGCCTCTTTCTATTTTCTTTTTCCTATCTCTCTTTGCAGCCACCCAGGATTTTTATTTCGAACCAGATGCATGCTGTAAGTATGTACAAGTACGTAAGGTAGTTTCCTCTGCCTGACCTTGGCTGGGTTCGTCTCAAAACACCGGCTGAGGCTAAGACCTGGCCGCTTCCAGACAAACATTGCAAGGTGAGACAACTGCGCGCTGCCAATGCGCACAAGCGCCCTGGCCTGGCCAAACGGCTGCGGAGGCGCGCGCTCACGATAACGCATCGTGCCTCCTCTCGAGTACATGTAGGTAGTACTCAATCCGTGTTCCTAATGACACCTGCAGTCGGCGTGCTTCCCATCTCGCTAAAGGTAGGTAGCCTCGAGATAATATACGAGAACGATGAAGCCATCACGCAGCCCGCCAACTGCTGCTCAGTCAGTATTAATGCCGGGCTGTTACGAGTACATTGATGGCCAATTCTCCGTGCCCATGGCAAACATGTACCCCGTATTATTACTACTACTCCTTCTCCATCTTCCGGTCCGTCCTCATACGATACGATATGAAGCCCTTGTCCACCCGGTGGAGCCGTCCGGGCCTGTGACGTAGCGGCCTTGATCCCTGGCCTGGCTCTAGGCTGACAAGCTGACGACTGCAAGTCCAGGTTCCGGTGCCCGGTCCTGTTTGTCTGGTGTCTTCCGGGGCGGCGGCGGCGGTTTGAGTGCTTTGACGGCACTTTGAATTGCTCCCTGCGGACCCTACAGTTAATCAGCAGTTGAGGGAAGTGTGAATGGCATTACGATGCAAGGCAGCAGGATGCGAGCAATATATTCATTGTGGCATGGCAAATACCTTAGGCGTGATTGACACGCTTGATAGGTAGAGAGTCCTAGCCGAGGTACGAGTCTCCGGCGGGACTGCCTGTGTGCTTCTTCCGTGACCGGCGTGACGAGCCCGAGTTTCGACCCTCACAACACTACCTACCCTACAATCAAGGCCAACTTGATGGCTCGCATTCAATTCCTCTTATAATTCCAGAAGAGTTTCACAAGTGTCAGCTCTGAAACCATCCTTGAATGAGAGACCGTACAGATGTATGCATGGTATGAAGACGGTCGGTCTCTTGGTCAAAATCTTGTTTCCACGCTTCACGTAATCTGTTGTATCATTGCTTGCGATGCACTCCACTCGCGCGACCTGAGGCTTGTCAGCGCCTCAGCTCACAGCCCTCGCATCACGTTTCCCTTATAACAGCATTACGAAACTGCTTTGCCTCATAGCGTACCTTACAGCCAACAGAACCCACTCGGAATCTCGAAGCAACAACGACCCCTCATAGACGAAACGGGCTGGATCGACGGTACCGTCACGGAGTGGCTTACAAATTACGCTGAAGAGGCATGGCGAAGTAAAACCTCGGACGCGACGACATTACCATGAAAGACAGTATGATAAGTGGCCGTGGTGGCAAACAGATAGATAGTTTGTAGAACCATATTTGACAATTACTAAGTGGAAAGAATTTGCTCCCCGTCTTCACCGAGAAACACGCGCAACACAACATCCGGTCTTTGCCATCAATCTCGCCGCTCAAGAAAGCCGGGCCAATATCAAACTTTCGCCGCCTCCGTCTCCGACATCCGCCCGGAGTCCTCCGGCAGCCCGTCGGTTTGGTACCTAAGTAGGCAGGTGTACATACAGTAGGCCCGTTAATTGAAAGTGCTGCCAAATGCCTTGTTCTTATTAAGACTACCGGTTCTTTAGACATTTGCCAGGGCTGCCTTGTTTCTTTTCCCTGCCATGTCGTCATCACTCAATCTTACCTTACCTTGCTGCATCAAGTCCATGTCACTAAGAGGCAAGCTATGGATGTCGGAACCTGTTTTTATTTTTTTTTTTTATTATTATTATTTTTTCTTATTTTTTAGATAGCCTCAAGTTCGTTGATCTGCAAAACCTGAGGCTCTCAAGAATCTGGCAAATCTGGCTACCTTGCCGATGGGGTCCACAAAGGATTGTAAGTCTGTTGTCCGTATGAAGGAGCTGGAGGATGCGTGTAATGAATGGTACGGACGCCCCGAAACTGATTCGGCTCGCTCAATATTATCATGGGTGATTATGATGGAGAACCAAGAAGCAGAGAGAAAGAGAGAAAAAGCAGAATGTTGGGTGGGCCCGAAAGCTGAGAGAAAAAGGTTGCAAAAAAGGTCAAAAAATGTGCCCCTGCCAGGAATCGAACCTGGATCTACAGTGAATCGTGTGATCCACAAACTGTTGTACTGACCGTTATACTACAGAAGCTTGTATGTATTTGATGCTAGACAGGCATCTAAAACTAACCTATATGTCATAAACTTTACACCTGCTGCTGGGAAAGTTGCATCATTATTTCACACTCTCTCATTTGCTCCACCAAAAGTGCATGGAAGCCATCAAGGTGCAAACTGCATTCAAATTGGCAACGCAACCACCTTTCGAAACTGGCCGCTTAATCTCTTGCCTTACACTTTTCTTGCTCCCTACTTTCGTCTGATCATTTTGCTACTATGTTACAATTTGGCATGAGTTACAATACAGATTGTGGAGCCTGGCTCATCAGTAAGACCCGTGCATTTACAACTTCCGCATGTCAACAACAGCACGAATGCAATCTCCCTGCTTCATCGTCTCGAATGCGCTGTTAATCTCGCCAAGAGTCTTGCGGTGCGTGATGAACTCCTCAACCTTGAGAGCTCCATTCATGTAGTCGCTGACGAGGCCGGGCAGCTGCGAGCGTCCCTTGATGCCGCCAAAAGCGCAGCCCTTCCAGACACGGCCAGTGACCAGTTGGAATGCTACCAATTGTTAGTCGACGGCTCACGTCACGGAAATCGGTAGATATAATGGGAACTTACGTCGAGTGGAAATCTCCTGGCCAGCAGCAGCGACGCCGATGATGATGCTCTGTCCCCATCCCTTGTGGCAGGCTTCCAGAGCCGCACGCATCACCTGGACGTTGCCAGTACAGTCAAAGGTGTAGTCGCAGCCACCGTCCGTCATCTCAATCAGCTTCTCGACAATGGTCTGGCCCTTGAGGTCGTTGGGGTTCACAAAGTCGGTAGCGCCAAACTTCTTGGCCCACTCCTCCTTGGCCGGGTTGACGTCCACCACGATAATCCTTCCGGCCTTGTTGACGACGGCTCCCTGGACGACTGACAGGCCGACGCACCCGGCGCCGAAGATGGCAACGTTGGAGCCTTCCTCGACGTTGGCGGTGACGCGGGCTGCGCCATAGCCGGTGGTGATGCCGCAGCCCAGCAGACACGTCCGGTCCATGGGGGCCTCGGGCTGCACAGCTACGACGGAGATGTCGGCCAGGACGGTGTACTGAGAAAAGGTCGAGGTTCCCATGAAGTGGAGGATGTCCTTGCCCTTGCACTTGAATCGGCTGGTGCCATCAGGCATGACGCCCTTGCCCTGGGTGGCTCGGATCTTGCCACAAAGGTTCGTCTTTCCAGACTTGCAGAACTTGCACTCTTTGCACTCGGGTGTGCTGCATGCTGTTAGCCTTTGACTCAAGCATACCCTACCTCTGGACCACTAAAGAGACATACTAGAGAGCAACGACGTGATCGCCGGGCTTGACGTTGGTGACGCCCTCACCAACAGACTCGACAATACCAGCTCCCTCGTGTCCCAGGATGACGGGAAAGGCTCCTTCAGGGTCCTTGCCGGAGAGAGTGTAGGCGTCTGTAGGGCGTTAGCTTCCTCACCTCTTTTCGCCTCCCCCTCATCACGAACGTCATCGACCTACCAGTGTGGCAGACACCCGTGTAGTAGATCTGCACGCGGACCTCGTGCGCCTTGGGCGGAGCAACCTCGACATCCTCAATGCTCAGCTCCTTGCCAGCCTCCCAGGCAACGGCAGCCTTGCAGGTGATGGTCTACTCTCTCATCTTCATCAGCTGCTGTGTTCTCTCGGCGGGGTGACACTGCTACATGGAGGGGTAGTTCCATCAATTTCCAGCGGTCTCTGCTTACCTTGCCAGCAGTCTCGGCCATTGTGTTAGTCAGATGATGATATGCAGCAGAAAAGTTGCAGCTTCTCGATGCGACACAGAGGGAAAAGCTCAGGCCTGGAATGGAGCTACTCCGTCCTTATTTATTCATGAGCAGAAGCAGTTCCAGCCGTTTCCTCAGCTTCCCGATCCCCCGAGAAATCGATAACAGGAGCTACCCCGCTGTGGTGCAGGGGTGGGGTTGTCAAAACAGTGCATCATATTTTTTTTGGCTTTGGCTTTGGCTTTGGCTTTGGCTATTATTACTTGTCGAGGCAAAGCATTTTAACCGTCAACGAATAAGCAGCTCCAGACGAGGGTTGATGCTCACAAGTGTTGCTTCCTTGGCCGGCTCCTTGACCGGGTGTATGTGGCAATGGTATGCGTATAGCTCCGTGCTGTCCGTGTTGAACGACAAAAGAAGGGCTGCATGGTCCAGCAGCGGCTATAAGAATGGCCGAATTGATGTCAGTGGAAGCACAACCGTGACAAAGGGATTAATAGCTTCGCGAAAAGATTCTGCTAAACTCCGAAAAATCTCCTGGTATTGCTGGACCTGCTGCAATGTACATTTTAATTTATAAGCTGGGCGCATCGAGACGTGGGAGTTGTAAAGCGCTGTTGGATGAGCTGGGACAAGACAACTTCACAGGACAGCCATGTCAAGCAATGTCAGTTCTGGGGGGATCTACGTCACCAACTCCATATCAGCACTCATGCAGACAATCCTTGAACAGCAGCGCCCACGTCGAGGAAAAAAATAAAAAATATTCCCGCCATGTGAATAAACCAGACTCGTCATCGTTTGAATAACTCGATCCAGTAATAGCCAGTTACTTCAGGCGAGGAAGATAAAGTGCAGCTCATCTGCAGCTCACCGAGCAGGCTTTGAGTCCTAGGGTGAGCTCGGTGAGCTCCGGCTAAATGCCGGAACATGGCGCGTTGCAGCTTCGAAAAATACATCAACCAATTCAGACGCGTGCCAGGGCAAACCAATGCAGAGCACAACCACCATTGACAAACAAAGACCGAATCCATCTCGAACACATCCTCTTGCCACCTTGCATAGCAAGCAAAGTACAGATCGGTCAAAGACAAAGGCCAGCTCGCACGCATGAAGAGGTGATCCGTGGGCGCTTCTCACACAACGATTCTGCTGGAGCAGCGACCAGGCAAACACTCGATAGCTTCTCGCCATGGCTCACAGATTCATTGTCGACTCGAGCCCGTTGAAAGAGGCGCCATCGACTCCCGACAGGCGACGCGGCAACGGCTTCGCTGCCTCACAGTATGAAGAGAGCCCGACAGGAACCCCTATGGATGCCCCCCCGTCCTTTGGCAGCTCGGCGATGCAGTTCGACTCGCCGCAAGCTCCCGCCTTCGGACTCGGCACCGCCTCGAGCGCCGGCAGAGGGGGGCTGTTCGGGTCATCACGCAATAATAATGGTCCTCTCGGACGCAACATTGGAGGCAGGGCACCTTCTGGTCTGAGTAGACAGGTTCGCACGGACAAGAACGATGATAACGAGGATGAGATGGAGGAGGAATTCAACAACAACAACAACAACGAGCTTCCTCCCCTGCCTGGAAGCCTGTTCCGACCGGCACCTCAGTCGCGGTCGTCCCAAAGAAAGCAAGAGCTCACCACCGACGACATGGAGGCCGAGATGGAGCGCTATCTCGACGAGGAAATGCGGGGAGGCGTGGACGAGCAGGACGTCGATGATTCCGACTCGGGCGACATTTTCCTGAATATGCGACACGACGATCGCGCCTACGGACAACCCATCATTGGCGAGGAATCCGATCTGATGATGCTGCAGACCCCGGCGGCGACAGCCAAAGTGCGCAAGGAAGCGGAGAGCATATTCAGCCAGTCGACTCGCTTCAGAGGTCTCGGAAAACACCGCGAGCTTCAGTTTGGCATCATTGCCAAGGACATCTATACCCACCAGGAGCCTGCAAGGCTCACGGAGAAGCCCGAGCTGATCCTCAAGACGGAGAACCTGGTGTGCCAGCTCTACAATGACGGTGTTGGCGCTCATGACGACCCGGAAAGACTGGAAAGCTCGCTTGCCGACATCACCTACAAGCTGATACGGGTATGGACCGACTATGTCGAAGAGCTGCCCCCTCCTGAGGGCGAGGACCTGGCCACCATTGGCCCCGGAGAGGACGCAGATCCGTTCGAAAAGGCAGCCTACGTTGCGCACTTGATTCTTCGCATGCACCACACGCGGTTTGACACGAAGCTCGAGGACGAGCGGGCGTCGCCTTTGCCAGAGATCCTCTTCGACTGGATGCAGTCCAGCCACAATCTGTATCCCGACCAGGTGCGAGAAATCTCCAGATACAAGCCGAGCCCGGCATGCCACAGCCTGTACTGGCAGACGTTGAGAAATGCGCTGCTACGTGGTGACGTGAACGGAGCGAAGCAACTCCTCAGGAATGCTGGCTGGGAACATGTTCGCCGTGGACCGACGGGAGGTCCGACATACACCGGCAAGGCCCTCGAAAATGTACGAAGGTTTGCAGAGGCGACGTGCGAGATGCTCGACCAGTGCCCCGGAGCTCGGAATGATTGGGATATCCTAAGTAGTAGCTGGACCCTGTTCCGAGTCCAGGCTCGGGGCTCCTTGGACCGACTTACTTTGTTTGCCGAGGGCAAAGACACGAGCCTTCTCGATTCCATCAACAGTGACATGTCCATATCGGCAATGGCCAAGAAGGCATCGAGCCAGATTCCCTGGGACATCTACGAAAACCTACAAACGATATACGACATTGTACTAGGCCAGACCGAAGCCATTCTGGAGACGGCGCAGGACTGGTGCGAGGCGACGATTGGTCTATTTGGTTGGTGGGATGAAGGCGTTCAACGCCCGAAGAGCCTGATGCAGTCCCAGTTCGGCATGTCGCCGAGCAGCTTCACGGACTCTGAGGACTATTTCGATCGGCTTGCGAACGTGTTCAACATCGTGATTCAGTCTGGGCTAAGTCCCAACACGATGAACCCCGTCGAGGTTGCCCTTGCATCCTGCTTTGAAGGCAACGTCAACGCCGTCATTGGATGCCTGAGGACCTGGTCTCTCCCCGTGGCTTGCGCAGTAGCCGAGATTGCTTCGCTGGGCGGATGGCTCCCCCCGCCAGAGTCCGTGAAGCCGATGCCGGCCGACAGTCTGGATATGGACGATCTGATGCTCCTCGGAGTAGAACAGCCCAACACCGACGACGTGGAGGGAATCAAGGACACGACCCTCGTCATCTACGCGCGAGAGCTGGCCGGCATTGAACACCTGTCGCCGCAGCGAGACGGCTGGGAGATGGCCATTCAGGTGCTGGGGCGGATGGACGTGGCTGAAAAGTCAGAAGAGACCGTCGGCGAACTGTTGAGAGACCTTCTGGAAACGCTGGACGAGACGTCTAGCACGACAGTGGACAAGATGTGGAGGATCTTGAGCGACCTGGGGATGATGAATTATGCTGAAGAGACAGCGGAGGTGAGTAGACGATGTGGCAGCGCTTTTCCGCGGCATGCAGTGAGCTAACTGAGCGAAAGACATTTGCAGAAATCTTGGCCGAAAAGACTCACCGATATGGCGAAGCGATTTGGTACTTTGCGCTTTCTCACCGCACCGACCGAGTACGCGAGGTTCTGAACCTTCTCATGTCCTATTCGCTCATGCAGTCAACGGTATACCCTGCTGAGAAGGATCTCGATGATGACCTCAAGAGCATGCTCCGAAACCGATCAGAGACCCTGGAGGAACGGGCCAAGGTCGATTTGGAAGCCGCCCAGCTGCTGGGCCGGATGCTCAGTGGCTATGCGACCCTGCGCAAGTTTTACGAGCTTCGGGACGAGATTGGAAAGACTGAGGAGACATCGCCCTCTCGTGCACTTTCCATGAGGAAGCAGGCTGCGTTCGCGCTGGTGGCTGTCATCTCTAGCTCAGGCGACAACATCCGCGGCGGGCTTTACGACGAGTCCAGGGACGCTGTTGTCAGCGAGGACTTTCTGCTGGCCCTGCTCGGCGAAGCAACCGTCTTCATCAACCAGACGCCTCCTGTCATTTCCCTCGAGCAGCTCGACATTCTTCTCAAGGCCATTGAGGATATCCAGGCGGTCGGTTCTCGCGTGTACTCCACTTGTGAAGAGTTTTTCGACCTGGTGCTTGCCTCAGGGCAGGGTCTCAAGGGCTCTACGCCAGCGGATCTCATGAAGTCGACGGGTAGCCTTGGCGGCAGCACATTCATGATGAGCGGCAGCTCGCTTCTGGCCAGCCACATGCAAAAGTCGCTCACGGGTGGAGTCGGCAAGGTGACTCGGGGGTGGGATTGGAGAAAAGGCTGGCTGGCCAATACAAAGGGTGAGGACGTGATCCGGAAGCTGAGGCTGGGCCTCGCCAAGGACCTGGCGGCGCTTTGGCTGGATGATGCAGACGGAGTTGCCATTTACTAGAGGACCAAGATAGATAAAGGAGAAATTGGAGGTTTGTCTGGTGGGGTTTGGGATGAGGAAAACAGGGATACACACAGTTGGCAGATTGGCTGAGATACCTACATAATAGTACGAAGGGGGACGATATGTTTGAGGCATTGCGTTTGATTTGCGAATCTTGCCTGGAGCGGCCAACGAACGGAAAGTCATGAGCATGAGAATGAAGACGGGAGCCATATGCTCTCCCCCCTTGGACTTGCTGCCCCATATATCTCTATTATACCCGACACCTTTTGAATCGTGGAGTCTGCTAAAGTGTCCGATCTAGTGCGATCTGAGGGACGGTGTTAGCCGTGGGCCGCCGTTGGGCCGGTCTCCAATCCGATATCGCGGATTGAAAATCGAGGCAAACTCCACCAGCCTTTTTTTTCCTGACCTTGTCCGGGCATGAATCACAAGCGCAAGCAGCGAACTGCGTCAACATGGCCCCAATTGAACTGGCAGGCCGTTCCGGAGGCGCCATGACGGTGAGTTTTGTGCATACGGATTCATCTTGATGCCTGAGGCGCGAGCAGAAGCTGACCGTGTGATGTGATTTCGCAGAGCCTCTTGCGACGAGCTTCATCCCGCTCCGCGGCCGGAGCCCTGAACCGCGCACTGCGAATCCCGTCATCAAATCAATTCTCGACCGTCGCCTCCCTCCCTCCGACGTACGAGAGGCTCCTCACGCGCTACACGGATGTGCGCCGCGTGCTGGGCCGGCAGCGGCTGACGCTGGCCGAGAAGATTCTCTACAGCCACCTGGACAACGTCGAGGAGTCGCTGCTCACCAACACCGACGGCGGGCGCAGCATCCGCGGCAAGGCCAACCTGCTGCTCAAGCCGGACCGCGTCAACATGCAGGACGCCTCGGCCCAGATGGCGCTGCTGCAGTTCATGTCGTGCAACCTGGAGCGGCCCGCGATCCCGGCCAGCATCCACTGCGACCACCTGATTGTGGGCTCCAAGGGCGCCGAGGACGACCTGGCGGCGGGCATCCAGACCAACAAGGAGATCTTTGACTTCCTCGAGTCGGCGGCGCGCAAGTTCGGCATGGACTTTTGGCCGCCCGGCGCCGGCATCATCCACCAGACGGTGCTGGAGAACTACGCGCTGCCGGGCCTGATGATGCTGGGCACCGACAGCCACAGCCCCAACGCCGGCGGCCTGTGCACCGTCACCATCGGCGTGGGCGGCGCCGACGCCGTCGAGGCGCTGGTCGGCGCGCCGTGGGAGCTCAAGGCCCCCAAGGTGCTGGGCGTCCAGCTGACGGGCAAGCTCAACGACTGGGTGGCCCCCAAGGACGTCATCCTGAAGCTGGCGGGCGAGCTGACGGTCCGCGGCGGCACGGGGTCCATTATCGAGTACTTTGGCCCTGGTGTCGACACGCTGAGCGCCACGGGCATGGCCACCATCTGCAACATGGGCGCTGAGGTGGGCGCGACGACGTCCATCTTCCCCTACACCGAGGCGTCGGCGCGGTACCTGCAGTCGACCCGCCGAGGCCAGGCCGTCGACAACATCAAGGCCCTGCAGAGCTTCGCCGGCAACAGCACGTCCGAGGACGCCCGCTTCCAGTTCAAGGCCGACGAGGGCGCCGAGTACGACCAGCTCATCACCATCAACCTGTCGGAGCTGGAGCCGCACGTCAACGGGCCCTTCACGCCCGACCTGGCCACGCCGCTGTCCAAGTTCAAGGACGTCGTCAGGGACCAGCAGTGGCCCGAGAAGCTGTCGGCCGGCCTCATCGGCAGCTGCACCAACAGCTCGTACGAGGACATGACGCGCGTCGAGAGCCTGCTCAAGGAGGCGGCCGACGCGGGTCTCAAGCCCGCCGCCGACTTCTACATCACGCCCGGCAGCGAGCAGATCCGCGCGACGCTGGAGCGCGACGGCACGCTCGAGACGTTCGAGGCCGCGGGCGGCGTGCTGCTGTCCAACGCCTGCGGCCCTTGCATCGGCCAGTGGCAGCGCCAGGACGGCGTCACAAAGGGCACGCCCAACGCCATCCTGTCGTCGTACAACCGCAACTTCCGCGGCCGCAACGACGGCAACCCGGAGACGATGAACTTCCTCGCGTCGCCCGAGGTCGTCACCGCCATGGCCTTTGCCGGCTCCACCACCTTCAACCCCATGACCGACTCCATCACGACGCCCTCGGGCAAGCCCTTCAAGTTCTCGCCCCCGCGCGGCCTCGAGGGCCCTCCCTCGCCCTTTGAGTCCGGCGTGCCCTCCCTCGGCGTCCTCTCCCAGCAGCCCGACCCGAGCGTCCAGATCGCCATCTCCCCGTCCTCGGACCGCCTGGCCTTCCTCGAGCCCTTTGAGCCCTTCCCGGACTCGGACCTCTCGGGCCTGCGCGTCCTCGTCAAGGTCACGGGCAAGTGCACCACCGACACCATCTCCGCCGCGGGGCCCTGGCTCAAGTACAAGGGCCACCTGCCCAACATCAGCACCAACACGCTCAACACGGCCGTCAACGCCGAGACGGGCGAGGTCAACGCCGCCTACGACCTCGACGGCTCGCGCCACACCATCCCCGAGCTCGGCCAGCGCTGGAAGGACCGCGGCCAGCCCTGGCTCGTCGTCGCCGAGCACAACTACGGCGAGGGCTCCGCCCGCGAGCACGCCGCCCTCCAGCCGCGCTACCTCGGCGCCCGCGTCGTCCTCACAAAGTCCTTTGCCCGCATCCACGAGACGAACCTCAAGAAGCAGGGCGTCGTGCCCCTCACGTTTGCCGACGAGGCCGACTACGACAGGATCTCGGCCGGCGACGAGGTCAGCACCGTCGGGCTGTACGATATGCTGCGGAACCAGGGCAAGGGCGAGGTCCAGCTCAAGGTGAAGAAGGCCAGCGGCGAGGAGTTTGTCATTCCGACCAAGCATACCGTTAGCAAGGACCAGGCTGGATTCATCCTCGCGGGCAGTGCCCTCAACTTGCTTTCCAAGCGCGCATAGAAACTCCTAAGAACAGAAGTGGTCGAAATGAGAAAAGGGGTTGGAGGAAAGGAGGGGAGAGAAGGACGTTTTATACCAGGGTTAGGGTTGGATTGATGCAAGATGAGACTCACTGGAGTGTCTTTTGCCTTGTCGCTTTGGAATAGGAAAATGGGAGGGGCTCACAGAGCACGGATTATGCCGATTGATTTACGTTACCAAAAGAAAGCATCGCACTTGAACTTGGAATATTATGCATTTTGATACACCGCGTGCATGTGCTGATGGTAATGCTTGTCATTAACGACGCTTGTCTACCTAAAAGTACATGACATTTCAAAGATATAAAATGCTGGGCAATCTCGCCCGACGCCGATCAACGTCTGCGTCTGTTACAGAAAGTAGAAAAAGGTGGAAAATGTTATACGTCCCACTGTGATAACCTCATAATTCCGTGACGCCAACCAACGTAGCCTTTCTGCCGCCCATGTCCGCCCCCTTTCCACATAAATCAACGCACCAGGAGTATCTTGAGGCGAAAAAAAATCAGGATAACAAGAAAGATCAGTATGTATATCAGGAAGAAAAAGAGGCATAAATGCATGTGTCGTCGTCCTTGCCTCGATGATCATCCGCTGCTTTCAGATGCCAGTTGGTTGGCATCTCTCATGATGCTTTCAGCATAGTTCCAGGCTTCTCTGTGCGCTTCCTTGGCTGCACGGTCTCGCAAGACCCTCTTTGCCTCATTCTCTCGATGCCAGGCACACGCCTTGACCCATGCAGGATTCTGCAGCACATCTTCTGGAAGTTCTTCCTCTGGAACATCCCCAAAGTCCATGATCCGATTGTAAGACCAGGGCTGCGGATCCACCCGCTTTGGCTTCTTGTTTGACATCTTTGCCGCCTTTTGTTTCTCTTCCTCTGCCCTTTCTTTTGCTCGTATCCACCGTCGCCGCTCAATGACTTTGCCAAACCAAGCCTTGCGCCCTCCTCGACTCTGAATTTCCAGCGCCTTCTGTTTAAACCATTCATCAGACCGGTAATGTGTCAGATGTATTGCGGGATTGACGGCCAAGTATTTCCTTTGATCTCCGGTCGAGGGTACTTGAGCAGGGGTTTTGGGCCGGGCTGCGGACTGTTTGGGAACTCCTGGTGGGGGACGCAGCGAAGATTGCCGATATATCATGGCATCAAAGGCCTCCGAGTCAAAGTCGCGTCTCTTGGCCGTGCTTAGCTCTTGTGCCGCGCGCTCTCTTGCAGCTGGCATAGTCTGGTCCTCCACCGTGACATCCGATTCGGGCGTGGGAAGTGGTGGAATGGTTATGCTCTCGCGCTCGTTTGTTGATCTGTTTTGAGAAGGCTTGGGCTGCTGAGACACTCGAGAAATTGAAGTTGATCCGTGCCCCCCACTGCCATCAGGGGTTGCTCTTCGTACATGGCCGAAACTTTCAGCTCGCTCCCCGGCTATCGCTTGGGCTGTCTCTGCCACAGGTGTCGGGTCATTAAAAGTTCGAATCCGTTTAGAACTCCGTAGATGACTTGTCGCTTGGTCATCACCGAGTCGGGAGCTTGGAGGCTCGGAGGGGTTTTCTAAAGGAGAGGTTTGCTTGCTAGTGCCTGACTGGGCTGACGATCGTGATCTGGTTTGCCTTTTCGGGGCCGAAGAAGTAGGATTCGCCTTTTTCGTCTGGATGTGCGAGGGCTTCTGTATACTTGACTGAGCATCAGCGGCATCGGCCTTTCGCTTCTTCGGGGGCAGATACAGAGGGATGTCTCCAGTGACTCCTGAGTGCTGGCCGGGTTCTTGAAAGTCGTCAACAGAGGATGCCTCGTGTCTGCGAGAGTTCACTGGGTAAGTTCTCTTTCGGCTCGGTTTACTGGCCACTGTGATCGATGGCAATTCCTTCAAGTTCGAATCTCCAACTCGAGCAGATGGAGTCGCTGAGAGCGAACTCTCATGGGTGGCACTAGCCATGTGCACAGAAGATAGCCTCAGACTCGACGCAAACTCAAGTCCCTCATGAACCAACTCGTCCACTAGGGCAGGGTTCCCCTCGAGATTGGTCCCTCTTGGTACATGTCTGCTATCGGGCACATCTTGAGCAGCCTGTTGGCGCGAACTCGCCGAGAGATTGTCAATAGACGGAACATCGGGATTCAGTACGAAATAGGGCTCTCGAGGCCTTGGCAGTATAGTCTCGGCCGCAATTGGCGAGGCACCAACATCTTTTACTGTTGCTCGATCCTGCCTCGATGCCGCTGTGTCTGCGGGTGCCGATACTGATGGGTATTCTGGAACGGGGTCCGAAACGCCATGAATTGGTAGCTGATGAGTGGCAGGTCGCGTCGGCAATCCCTGACTAAAGTGTGCCAGAGTGACATTCCTTTGGTTCGGAGAATAGGCAGTCTGTTGTGGAGTAATCTTTGCGGAACGAGCCGATGCTCTCCCAAGAGCGAAGCGCCGAGGCTTCCTTGCCTTATGCAAGGGTCGTTGAACCGTCGCTTCGGGGCCCAGAGACTTTGGAGAAGAGTTGAAGGCCAGGTGAGCAGAGCAGAGAGCTTCCGCAACAATGGGGTCTTCGCAGCCCCAAACAGAGCATGTTCCCCCCAGTCTAATCGTCTCCTCGCAATCCATGTTTGAGGGCCTTGGCAGTCATGCAGCAGACTCCAGGTGATATCCCTGACGTATCATCTCATGCCAGGAAGAGAGAAAATCCGCGAAATGAGTGCGCCGTGATGATCACCCGAGGCAAGATGACGGGGTTCTGCAGCGGGATCATGCCCAAAGGTGAAGTCACAAACCAACAGCCAGCCCAAGATGCTGCACTTGCAGGGAACCATCCAGAGAAGCCGCGCTCGTGCTGAGGCGAGAGCCCCCAATACTAACGCAAGGGGAAGTGAAAGCTGCATCTTTGTCAGCAGAGTCCTCTCTCGTGGATCGCGTTGCACAGCAGGAATGGAATGAGGCTCGCTCTTTAATGTCAGATCTTTTCAGTTTCTTTTTGTGACTTCAGGCTGGGAACAGCAACGGTTATGGCCTCAAGTGTCTTCCATGGAAATCGACTGCTCGTATGAGCAGCCAGTGTGCGTCGCGGCCTTTGGTCCCAGTCCGTGGGGATGAGGGAACAGAGACTCCGTGTGCGACGCGAGATGTGTTGATGAGCAGCACTTGAAGCCGTCTACCAAGGAATTTGGAGATCGAATCCCTTCCCGTAGATCTGGCTAGAGCTGCTGCTTGACACGTTCGAGTGAACGGCAGCAGGAAGACGCAGGCGACCATGACCAGGAGGCTCCGTTCGGTCAGACCTTTTACCATGGTGGCATCATTCATTGTAGCGAGGAGCCAAAAGGAGGCAGAGATGTTCCAGGGATCAGAGGGAAACGATGGGTTTGCCTCAGCCACTTACTTTGTGCTCATCAAAGGGGGACCTTGCCGTGCTCATGGCACAGCTTGATAATGACCAGATTGCTTCGGGAAGCGGACAGCGGCGACGACTTGGAAAATGCGCAGCCGAAACCCAATGGATTGTTGATCAAGAAGCGCAGGGTCTCGAGACAGAGACAACAGACGGGCCAGATTTGGGAAACTGTTCGCCTCCGCGCGGCTGCACGCGAGCAGGAGAGAAATGAAAGGAAGCAAGGCTGGAGGAAGATTGTTGGTCAAGGTTGAAGCGTTCGTCCGCTGAAAAGTGGCCCGAGCGCCGAAGTACCTCCTACAGGTACCGCTACACCGTAGGTGCAACTGGAAGGAGAAGGCTCTGAAGGTGCAAAGTACAGGTACTGTACCTAATGGAGTTGGGGCTGGTGGCGGGCATGGACCGAACAGGCCTATCTCAGCTCTTGAGGATGTGATTTGATCCCTGGATATATTATCCATCACATATATTGCCGTGCGGCTGGACCCGTAAGTACTAGGAATCAAGTCAGCCCTCGGCTCTTTATGTTATCATGCACATGGCTCTTCGACCGGTTGTTGCATCCTGTCAGATTTTGGTCATCAGCGCCGGGGATCGAGATCACCAGTAGACATTTCCAGCCGGCGTTCCATAGGCCTTCTGTACCGCTACCTTACCTCCTATTCGTTACCAAGTTCCAGCGCTGTTGCAGCACGCCACGCCCTGGAGCGACCCCTCTTTAGCGGCCTGGGTCGCTTAACGATGCCCGTACGACGGGACACAGAGGCCCCAGGTCCCGTCTCCAGTGCTGAGCTCCGAGCTACTAGGTACTATGTAGCACCAGCACCAGCGCCAGGACGTGCAGCTGCACGTGGGAGCGGGGAGCTTCCGGTCCTGAAACTGACACTTTGCGATATCGCGACAACTCGTCCAGGACAGCACAGAGTTCGTGGCTGCTCTTGTGATGCAATCCTTCTCCCGCGATCCTCGTCAACGACTCTGTTCCGTATAGCCTCTTACACGCATGGAATTTCTCAAGTCGGCCGTGGCCTCGGCCATCTCCCAAGGCCCTCCTTTCCCCTACACCTTTGGCGACAAGGTCGATGTCGACGAGTCCATCTGGACGCTCTACAATGGAACGAGGCGGGTAGGCTGGCCTCCCCTTGGCTGCGCATGCCGTGTTGCACAGACTAACGATTGCGGGCAACTAGGAGGACGGATCAAACTGCAGCATCTTTGCCTTCGACAGCGCCGCAAAGAGGAGCCTGCTGCCGCTCGCGAAGAACGCGCTGCGAAAGCTGCGGACGCTGCGACACCCCGGCGTCATCAAGGTTCTGGATACGGTCGAGGTATGCGACGCGACCGCCGTGGCTGCGCTTCGGGGCTGACCGTCGAGCGACCAGACAGACACATACATCTACATCGCTACCGAGCGCGTGACGCCTCTCCGGTGGCACGTTCGAAGGAAGAGCCTGAGTCCCGAGACCATCAAATGGGGTCTGCATACTGTCGCTGTAGGGACACTGTCGGAGCTGTCGCTCTTATGGAGGCTCGAGTGCTGATATGCTCCAGCAAACACTGAAATTCATCAATGACGATGCCACCTCAAAACATGGCAGCCTCAGAGTCGGTTCCATATACACTACGGAAAGCGGAGAGTGGAAACTGGGGGGCTTCGAGGTCCTGAGCAACGTCAAGGACAGCGAGTCTGCTCTGGATGTTAGTAGTTTGCTATCCAGTGGTTGGGACACGAATACTGATCTTGCATGTAGAGCTACGGAAGCCTGGTTCCCGACTCTGGTCGGTATGCGCCGCCAGAGGTGGCTCAAGGGGGATGGGCGGCAACCAAAGCGCATCCTACGTACGCCGTGGATTCGTACAATTTCGGAACGCTCATCTACGAAGTCTTTAATGGCGAGTTCCACGGGCCGGATCAGGCTGGTCAAACCAAAAACATACCCCCGAGCATGCAGACTAGTTACAAACGCCTCTGCAACCCCAACCCCAAGGCCCGGATAAGCGCTGGCAACTTTCTCGACCTCGGACGCCGAGCAGGCTCCTTTTTTGATACCCCCTTGATCCATCTGACGGAAGGAATAGAGAGTCTTGGAGTCAAGAACCCCGATGAGCGGGAAGAGTTCCTCAAGCAAGTCTTCTCCTGATCCCACATGTCTCTGTCTGCTTTGTCCTGTCTAACACTCCCGCTAGCGAATTGGAGAAAGTCACGGATGACTTCCCTGAAGAGTTCTTCAAGTCCAAGGTCCTCCCAGAGCTGGTCAAGTCGGTCGAGTATGGCGGTGGTGGCCCCAAAGCTCTCACCATTGTGCTGAAGTTGGCTGCCAAGCTGCCTTCGGACGATTTCGAGTCGAAAATCACACCCTTCATTATTCGAGCCTTTGCAAATCCCGATCGGGGCATTCGCGTTTGCCTTCTGGACAACCTGCCTCTCATAATTGACCAATTGTCGCAAAGAATTGTCAATGACAAAATCTTCCCCCAACTCGTAAGCTTGGCCCCCTTCTTCTTCTTCTGCGAAGGAGAACGATGCTAATGACGAAACACAAGGTTACGGGATTCACGGACGTAACGCCTGTTGTTCGAGAGCAGACGTTGAAATCCGTCCTCGTTGTCATTGGGAAACTGTCGGATCGCACCATCAACGGCGAACTGTTGAAGCAATTGGCAAAGACTGCGAATGATGAACAGCCCGGCATCCGAACCAACACGACGATTTGCCTCGGGAAGATTGCAAAGAACCTTGGCACATCTTCTAGATCAAAGGTGCTGATAGCCGCTTTTACACGCTCCTTGCGGGATCCCTTTGTGCACGCCCGGAACGCTGCGCTCATGGCGCTGGGTGCCACGGCTGAATACTTCAACGAGGATGACAGTGCCAACCGCATCCTGCCGGTTATATGCCCGGCGCTGATTGACAAAGAAAAGATGATTCGGGATCAAGCCTCAAAGACAATGGACATTTACTTGCAGAAAGTGCGCAAGGCTGCTGCTGCGATGCCCGATACTGCCCTGCCTCCGCCCCAGTCGGCCGATGCTTCCACTGCCCAAGCGGCTACGGTGCAGCCAGGAGCATCTGGGAGCAGCTGGGCAGGCTGGGCCATTTCGTCCTTTACGAACAAGCTCACTGCTGTAGCTGGAGATATGCAAACTGCGAGCGCCCCAGCCTCAACTCCTGTTTCTCCACCACCCACTGCCGAGGCGAGAAAGCCAGCCTCAGCGACCGCATCAACTCTTCACCGGCACGCCGTGGCCTCCCCCCCTCCAGCATCATCTGGCCTTTCCACGCCTAGCGCTGCCAGCGCCATTGCTGGGCAATTCCTCCCTGACGATGACGATGCCGGTGATGCATGGGGCGATCTCAAGGACGATGATGGTGATGCAGGTGACGGATGGGGCAATGACGACGATGGCTTTGGGTCGACGTCTGCATCTGCGGCCTCGAAAGCACCCGCCGCTGCGTCTGCAGCGCCATTTGGCGAAGACGAGCCCGATTTTGCAGGATGGCTAGCGGCGCAGGCGCAGAAAAAGGGGCCAGGCAAGCCCTTACCAAAGGGGCTGTCCAAGACGACGCCCGCCAAGAAGCCTGTAACGAAGACGGCGACGAAGCCTGCGGCAAAAGCAGTGGCGAAACCTGCAGCAAAGAAGATTGACTTGGCACCCAAAGAGACAGATGATGATGATGATGGATGGGGTGAATGGTAGAGCTCCAGGGGTTTATCCAGTGTCATATTTCTGTCAAGTGTCTGAATAAGGTGGTCGTCGTTGTATATAGCAAAACAAGCCGGCGTTGGGTTTAGAATTGGATTGCAATCATGCGCTAATCTTCATCAATCATGTCTTAGGGACCATCCGATATGTACCTCTCCGTGCCCTACCTAGGTATGGAAATGAAATATGTGCAGATTGATGAACATGAAATCACGTACAGGAAGCACTGTACTAATACATACATAGGTACTTACACTGGCTGGCGGGCGTTTAGCGCATGTTGGTGTTGTGTGTCTTATCTAAGCTTATCGGCGACTCAGGCGAGGAACAATAGAAAAAAAAGAAAAACCAAAAAATAATCCCACCCAGAACAAACACTCGCCCTGTCGCCTTTTCGCTTCACGACTCGGCCCGACGAACATTTCGCCCGCGATAAAGAACGCAATACGGGCATTGGAATTCCGACCGAGCCCCTGAAATCAGAAGAAAAGAAAAAGAGAGGGAAGGGGGAAAAACCAGTCACCGAGCCGTCCATTCTCGAACAAAGGCACAAACAACATGGCGCAGGGCTCAATCAAAATGTCGAGCAAGGCGGCGGCGCCCAAGGCGGTGCACTCGAAGCGGCAGGCGTCCAAGGTGACCAAGCCCAAGAAGACAAAGGCCAGCGCGGACAAGATGCTCAAGAAGTTCACGTCGGGCATGGTGGCCAAGACGGAGGCGCTGCTGGGCGAGCGGGCGGGCCATCTGGAGCTGATTGGGCCGGGCAAGAAGGGCGGCAAGAAGCTGACGCAGAGGGGAGGCTCCAAGAAGTTTGGCTAAAAGAAGAGCGGTGATAAGTGATAGAGGTTTTCTGGCGAGGAAGCTGGAATTGCTGGCGGGGCGAGGGGAGGAGGAAGGGGAGGAGGGTTTGGAGGAGGCGACGCATTTCGGACTGCAAGCGACATTGATCTTGACAAACGACTTTTTTTTTCTTTCTGATATTCCATCTATTATTGCGATGACGCACATTTCTCGATATCGAATTCCCTGCCCTCGGCAACGTCGTTTAGAATCGTCGTCACCACCTTAAAGTCCCGCTCGACATCGACCTTCCAGTTCGACACGGCCACCCTCACAGCCTTTTCGCCCTTCCAGCTGGTCCCGCTCACATACAGCTGCCTCGTCGCATTAATCTTGGCCACCAATCCGTCGTTGAGCTTCTTATCCTTGGCCCTGAACAGGACAATGATGAAAATGTCTTCGATATCGCTGCTCTCGTCGGGCAGCAAGTCGTAATAGGGCGACTCGCGCAGAAACACGGCCAGTTTGCGAGACAACTGGGTCATGTTGTGGAATAAACGAGCGAAGCCGGGACGACCCTCGCTGAGGAGCACGGCGTAGGCTGGCAGAGCGCGGAAGCGTCGCGAATTTTCGAGGCCGACGTTGAGGGGAGACGGAATACCGGCGTTTGGACCCGCGGACAGATAGGCGGCGTTGGGGTTGACGAATACGGATTCCAGGATGGACGAGGTGCGGGTGAAGAACATGCCGCAGTCGTATGGCTGAATGGTGTTAGGGAGCTTGGTATAGATCCAAGGGACAAGCTGGGAAGCGCTAATGGGATCACATACAACGTTGAGCATCTTGTGGCCATCAATTGTGATGCTGTCGGCCAGATCGATGCCCTTCACTCGCCTGTGAAGCAGCCGATGCTCGTCTCGGTCATCCAAAGCCGCACAGAAGATTCCGAAGGCTATATGATCAAACAATCAGCATTGCAACAAAGCCGCGCAGTCTCCTCTCGAAGACACGAATTGACCACTCACCTCCATCCGCATGAATCCAAGCCCCATGGCGATCCGCCAGTTCCCTCAACCTCTTCCACTCGTCGACATCATCGAGAGCATAACCGCCGGTGTTGACCTCTCCCATGCTGACAGCAATGATGCTTGCGGTTCCGGGCCGACTCAACTCCTTCTCCACCGCGTCGAGATCCAACTTCCACGGCTGAGCAGCGCTTCGAGGCAGCTCCTTGACGGAAGCTCTCCCCAGGCCCACGACACTTGCCGCCTTGGAGAGCGAACTGTGGCCTCCGCTGGTGAGGACCTGGATTTCCGAAACGCCAGCTTTGACACAGGCGCCCAGCAATCCTTGCTCGCCCGCCGACGCGCCCCTCTTCGCGAGAACAGCTTCCCGTCCACAGGCCAGCCCGAGGACATTGCTGGCCGTCGCCCCCGTCGTAAACGTCCGGCCCTGCCACTGCGATGATTCCAGGCGCAGCAGCCCAATCAGCATCTCGAGAGCAGAGTTTTCGACAATGGTGGACACGCTCTGCTCGGGCAGATGGACCTGCACGTTCTGGTCCATGCGGGAGACGACATTGTCGGCCCATTCGGCCAGGGGGAGGACGCCGCCGGTGACGAAGCCAAAGTAGCGGCTCGACTGCGACTGGCCGCACAGGGCGGGGACGATGTGCTCTGTGATGTGGCGGGCGACGTCTGCGGCGGGCTGGCCGGAGAGGAAGCCTGGGTCGGAGGATTTGGGCAGGGCGGCTGAGGCGGCGTGGATGAGGGCGAGGGGTGGGAGGGTATGGCTCTTTTGGGGCGAGTGGTTGCGCTGTTGGAGGCGGAGGGCCTGGGCGTTGATGTCGAAGAGGTCGGACATGGCGAGGGTGGTATAAGTGAGGGACGAGTATACAAGAGGCTGGATCTATAGTAGATAGATATACAGAGGAGAGCAACTTTGTTGACAGCTACCTAAGGTACTGGGAAATGTTGCCAAGGATGGTAAATTGATTCAGGAGGTTTGACGCAATTGCAACAATCACACCAAATCGTCAATGTAAAACGTGGGAAAAAGAAACCAATTCCTTCGAGGCGTGAGTATGATACTATTAGTATATATAAACAACGAAAAAAGCACACAGCAAAGACATCCCTGTCCACCCGCTCAGCTCTAAACGAGGGATCGCAAAGTCTTTCTGGCCGCAAAGATGCCGCAACTGTCGAGACGGCTTTTTTTTTTCCTCAGCGCGATGCCCAAAGGGGGGCTAGTTAAATGGCGAATCAATGCTGGGGGATTTTATCCCTGGACCTCTGGCTGTTGCAAAGTCACCGCTTTTCGGCCTTTTTTTTACTCCTACCTATGCTGGAATTTGGCCATGCTTGATATTATCGTCTTGATAGATGTGCAAGTATTCATCTTGTGCCCCGGGAAGAATGGGGTGCGCTGGACGTTTAGGTTACCCTTGTGCCTCGAAGGTAGTTTGTTTGTATATTACCTGTATGCGGCAGGTAATCACATGCTATACCTACCTACCTACTGTAAGACGATTGAATCTCTCCCCCACGTGCCGCTTCTCGGTGGGCTGGTCTCGGAGTAATCTGACTTGACGTCCTGGGTAAGTAGGTAGGTAGGTAGATGCAATTGTCCATTTGCCGGCTTTCCGATGCGCAATCTGCTTGTCTTTGCTGCAAGTGATACCCCATCAAAAGCAAAGGGCAAGTTTACAAAGTTGCAGTCATTCATTCATTCATACAAAGCGGCCAAAGAGAAAGCTGTTTTGTACAGATTTGTATCCGAACAGATGGCTACCTACCAATGCCGTGCTCAACTCAGAAAAAAACATGCCCCTTTGACAAAACCAGAAAATAAACGCCTAGAAAAACAAGATTCCCTCCACCCCGTACATGTCGAACACACAAAAAAGATCCCCTTCCCTTCAACTCTCTCTCTCTCTCTCTCTCTCTCGTAGTATGATTTTTCCCTTACAGCTTCGCAGCCTCCTTGACGCTCCCAATCTTGTACTTGCCGCCGTACTTTTCCAGCACGCTCTCGTTGTGGTACTTCCAAAACGCCTTGGTCGCGTTCTTGCCGGCGAAGCGCTTGAGGATCTTTGCGCCGCCGGGATGCTCGTCGAGGAAGTCTGCAGGTTGTCACACATGGAGCATGTCAGTCTCTCTCTCTCTCTCTTGGCAGGGTATTAGGATAAAACGCACTGGTGACGTCGTAGACGTTGTTCTCGACAATCAGCCAGTACCCATTCTCATCATTGTTGTGCGTCCCGACGTCGGCGGTGGTGAAGGACTTGTCGGACATTTTTTCTTTTTTTGTGTCTTTTTTGAATCTCCCGTCTGGGTGTTCTGTGACTTTTGTCTTGTTGCCGCGCGTGTAGTCTTTTGCTCTTCGGAACAGATGGAGTCGCTTGAGAGATTGGGCTGGTAAGATAAGACAAGAAGGAAAGGTAAGCAAATAGTTAAAAGGGAAGAGAGAGAGAGAAACGAGGTGATGATGGAAGCTCCAGAAAAAAGGGACAAGCGCGGCATGGAGCTCCCCGGCTTAGTATTACCAAGTCGGATCGAGAAAGTTACCTCGGCACGGGCACAAGAAACCCCCCCCCCGGATTTTGACTTGGCCGTTTTTAGGCGCTCGGACGAATGAGGAGGTGCCGATTGCAAAACAGCTCGTGACATGACTAAGACACAGATGAAATGACGAGCATGTTCTTCCAAGTTCAAGAGTACTTCAAGTTTTAATGCTCTACAAGCCAGCCTCTAAGTTACAGACAAGATAAACGGCTGTCATGTTCTATTCAATGACAATGCCATCAAGTCCAACTGATCCGACAGCTTCTGTCTAAATCTCAACCACCACCGGCCGTCGCCTCCGCAGCGCCTCCCGGAACCGATCGGCATACGCCGTTGTTGTTCTGCAGTCGCTCTCCATGCGCTTCTTCATCGCCTCCGGCAGCCACTCCTCAATCTTTTTGATCCTGTGCTCGTTCTGCTTGCATTGTCAGCGGAATACTGTGTGAGCCATGTCGGAGGCGAAAAAAAAAGAAAAAAAAAAAAAAGACATACCGATGGATGCGTGCTAAGCATCTCGGGAACTTCGTGCCCGCCCATCCGCTGAATCGTCTCCATCCTCTGCCAGAAGCCAACCGCCTGCCGCGGGTCGTAGCACGCCTCCGCCATCATCATCAGACCAATGTAGTCGGCCTCGCTCTCCTGCTTGCGCCCCATGGGCAGGTAGAAGAGCAGGTCCTGCAGGTAGTAGCCGCCAATGACGTTCCACAGACCAAACAGCGCCAGGCCCGGCAGCGCCCCGGCCAGGAAGAAGAGGCTGCCCGCCGTCAGGTTGCCCACCCAGGCGGCCGACAGGCGCTCCGCCGCGTGCGAGGCCGTGTTGTGCGCAATCTCGTGGCCCAGCACCGCCGCCAGGGCGTCTTCGCTGCGGCACACGTTGAGGATGCCGCTGTGGACAAAGACTTTGCCGCCGGGGATGACAAAGGCATTGGCGGTTCCTGGTTGCGCGTGTCGCCAAACAAAAAGACGTCAGCATCACTTGTGTGTCTCATATATATATATATATATATATATATATATAAACTTGAGGTACCGTATGGTACCTATAGAGGAGCAAGCAACTCACGGCTGTCGGCAATCACCCGCACCTCCCAGTCCAGGTCCTCCATCCCGCTCACCGGAATCAGCCGCTTCATGACCCTCTGCACCAGCATCGTCCGCGGATCCCAGTTGGACAAAAAGTGCCCGCCCTGCTCCTCGACCTGCCGCACAATGGCCTCGGCCGCCCGCGAGTAGGCCTGCGCCACCAGCGCGTCCGACAAGAAGTTGAAGCGCCTGCGCCCCGTCACGGGCGACGTCTGCGAGTTGTACAGGTAGAAGGCGACGGCGGCCACGACCGAGGCAATCACCACGGCGCGCGAGTTGCGGCTGCTGCCCGCGCGCGAGAGCCGGCTTGCGACGGTGTTGGGCACGAGCGGCTTTGCGTTGCGCAGGCGCTCGTGGGCGTCTTCGTGGTAGAAGCGTCCCTTGATCGAACACGAGGTGCTTCGATGGGAGCCGGCGGCCATGCCATGGCGTCGGCCAATGGCCAGCAGCACGCCGGATGCTCGCATGTGAAGCGGCGCATCCGACGAGGAGACGCGCACGACTCCGCTGCTGCTGCTGCTCCGGAGCAGATGGCGGGGGATCATGGCTCACGAAGAGACCTCTTTTCTCTTCCTTGCTCCCTTTTTCTCTGTCGTTGCTCTACTCGTTCAAACCCCCAGACGGTGCCTCTGCGAATGAAAAAGGGTGGCGTCGCCGGGGGGTTTGTCCTTGACTCGTACGATGTCGAGGTTGAAGATGGGAAGAGATCGATAAGGTTAGAAGAATGCGATTCGAGCTACGTCAGACCACAATCTCGGTACAAGCTCATACTGTACTGTAAGGTAGTAGTAGCCACAGGGCAGAATTCAAAACATCCACCCATTTTTCGACAATACTTGACCTCCATATCCATTTGCTTTGCCTGATTAATCACTTCCATCGACAATTGATCTCTATTCCTCCATCTGATTTCTCACCAATTGGGTCGATGCTCTCTGCAAGCAAGTGATGATGGGACGGCTAATGCCGACAGCCGGGGTCGGGCGGTGAGGCGGAATTACCTTTTTGGTAAGCACAGGGTTCGTCCAGCTTACTGCATGTGAGATGATGCAATCACCATACCTAGCTCAAGTCAAGCTCAGGCATCAACAGCTTTCCAACCCATAAGCAATCCTCCACCTTCTTTCAACAAACTTCAACGCATCCAACTGCCAGATTTTTCTCAAATTTCCATCGCAGCCCTCGGCCATCAGAGCCCACAGCATCACTAACCCACCAAAAACCCATCACCATGAGCGCAACTCAACACCCAGACCTCACCCCCATCAAACCATCCTTCACCCCCCCCTCCTCCTCCTCCTCCGAAGAAGAAGAATCCCCCTCCGTATCCTTCACCATCAAAGTCCTCTCCCTCGCACAACACATAGAGGGCGGCTACTACGCAGTCACCCACGTCAACCCCACCACCATCCCCTCCCCCTACCCGCAATCCCCGCTCTCCCAGCGCACAATCGACCTCGTCGGCGGCCTCGCCCCGGACTTTGATCCCGCCGTCCGGCGCCTCTCCACGACAATCTACTACTTCCTCACGCCGAATCGCCCGCTCGGCTCCTTCCATCGGAACCGGAGCCGCATCATCCACACTCTTCATAGCGGAAGGGGACGATACGTCCTGATTCATCCGGATGGCCGTATCGAGTCGTTTGTTGTTGGTCCCAATATCCAAAAGGGAGAGAAGTTGCAGTGGGTGGTGGAGGGTGGTTCGTGGAAGGCGAGCTTCCTCTTGCCTGACGTTGAGGGCGAGACGAGCAGTGACGGGTTGCTCATCTCCGAGACGGTTGTGCCGGGCTTCGAGTACGCTGATCACGAGTTTCTGTCTCGTGAGCGACTGTCAGAGATTCTGCCCGAGGAAAAGGCCAAGGCGCTTGAGTGGCTCGTGAAGCATTGATCTGGCCTGTGACAATGTGGGAACTGTAGGCTCAGCGTTGGAGGGACATGTACAGCCAGCTGGCATGTTGTCGTGGAGCATGTACATCTTTGGGCGGAAAAGACTCTCATTACTCATGCTTGAACCGGGATCCGTTCTTTTACAGCTCACGTTCTAGACAAGACGACCATATTGCTTTGTGGAATCATACCTAGTAGTTGATCATCAGCTAGCGCCATCTAATCCGAATCCCCGCCACTTCCAGTCACAGGTCACATTGTGCAATCCCAAACGCCGTGGTATTCCTGCCAAAAGGGCCCTGCAGATGTATCTTGGTCGACAAAGGAAACACGAGAGAGAGAGAGAGAGAGATGAGAATCAGCAGTATAAGGACGTCACCAGAATGTCCTTGTCACGAGTGCTCCCCCGGAAACGGCTTCCTCCCCCACACGACGAATATTGGCAAGTATGCATGAATTGAGGGATCCGAAACCTCTCGCCGGACCTCGACAAGCGATACCTGCGGACACGAGCATCATTAGCTTGTCGCTCTGAGATCGTTGGGGATGGGGGGGTACACGGGCAGAAGAACAAAATTCTCACCTCAATTTCCTCAGGCGTCCGTTCATAGACCTTGGTGAAAAGGCCTAGCGAAAAGGCACTCAACCCCATCTGCATATTCGTCTCCATCAACTGGCCAATCTCTTTCAGCGCGGGGTCCTTGGCCCATCCATTGAGGGGGACCTTGAAGATCTTTTGATGGACATCGACAAATCCCACGCGCTGCATCATGTTCTTCAGATAGCCAAACTCCGCGTGAGGGCGTTTGGCCTCGACGGCGGCGTTTAGAAAGTCAAGGAACCACGAGGCCAGCGCGCTGTCCTCCTTGAGCGTGCCGTCATCGCAATGAGGGACAGGTGCGCACTCCTGAGCCTCAAACCAGCCGCCTGGGGAGAGAGTATCGAAGGCTTGTTGCACGATTTGAGTCTCAAAGGATTCCCAACAGCCGCCTGTCGTTTTGGTGTGGATGTAGTCAAATGGTTCGTTGAATATCCAGGGCTCGGAGCTGTCTTCCACGAAGAACTCGACGTTCATCGGCACGATATCGGGCTGGATTGGGGACAGGTCTGTAGCCGTCACTCTGGCATCTGGGAAGCGATCGCCCATTGCTATCGCCCAGTCTCCTGTGCCAGTGGCAATGTCCAGGATTCTCTTGGGAGGTCTGTCATCCAACGGGGCAAAGTAGAGTCTGTCGCCCATGGCTTTGGTGAAAGCAATGTCTTGTATGGCCAGGCGGTCCTGTTCCAACTTGTCATTGGGGAAGTTGTATGCTATAGGAGTATTGGGAGTCAGCTGTCACGGCCAAGTTGCATCGTGTGTTGCGAAAAAGGACTATTGTTCCATCTTACAGCCTGATCTATATGCATGATAAGTCCGTCCGAATCGCTTCGGAAAGTCAAAGATGCTCTCCGTCAATGACATGGACTCGTCCATCCTAGAGCTGATGGTCAGCTTGGTGAAGCAAGGCCGGGTCGAGATTTGGGGAACAAAGGGTGCAGTCTACGCACATGGATCCGGCCTGGGGCTAGGTGTGTCAGAATTAGTTACTGCCATCTTGACTGCTGGACAGAAGTAGAGTCCAAGATTGTCAGGGTATAACGTACATCAGGCTCGAGGAAGCTGCCGTTGGTGGAGCTGGGTGCAGAACATTCAAACGTGAACTGGTAATCCTGCAACCCCATAGCCGGTTGGCCTTGGCCTCTGGATGGCTGTGGCTGTGACTGTGACTGGTCCTCTTCCATCGTCACCTGTAGACCTGACTGCCTTGGACGAGAAGAGGAGGAAGACGAAGAAGCTTGAGACACAAGAAGAACCTGGAACAGGCACAACGGCGTCTGTCAAGTGCCAAGCGGACGTTCGAATATATGGATATATAGAAGCAGCGCAAGAAAGGCGAGCCGGAGGCTGTAAGTGGAATGCGCAACCGTAGGCTAGGCAAACGAAGACGCCGTCAAATCTTTTGGGCAGCTCCGCGACACTAACGAAGAGCTGGGAAGGCCAAAGGCGGAGGGTGGGAAAAAGGGAAGACAGGCGGCGGAACTAGCTGAAAAGCATATTTCAGAATGACGGCAACGATCAGATGAGGTCCCTCCACACCGACACCACCACCGACCCAAGCAGGCGGTAACGAAAGGGGCCTAAAGAACTGGGGGGCTGAGATGGTGCCAAGGGCGCAAGTTGTGTGCCCACAGGATAGCCCTCGACCGTGCTCGCTCTGCTGCAGGGGGCTCGGAGCCTCTTGTCTTGTGTCTTTGTCTTTTTTTAGGGCTCCCTATTCTCCGGCCAATCTTGTCGATCTCGGCCAGACTAGATCCTCTGGAGCTCTGGACTAGGTCGTCTTTGGCCGAGCGAGCAGCCAGTAGCAGATGGGGACTGGAACGCATAGCGCCAAAAGCACGGATGCCAGTGGCCTCGAGGGGGGACAGCAACCAATAAGTAGAGTCGAGACCCGTCACCTGGCTGTGAGACGAGGAAGTCTAGGAGTCCCGGAGAAAGAATTCCTCGGAGGGTGTGTGAATGGAGGACTGAGCTCGACAGCACGCAAAAAGTAGGGTTCCATGTGCTGTTACCAGACCCTTGGCACCAGGACCCGGGAAGCTGGTTCGGCCCAGCCAGAAGGATTCAAGACATGGTGGGGTGGCCACCAAGCCCAAGATCCAGACAGCAAAGGGAGTCAGGTATACATAGTAATAGACAACTCATTGCGTAGTGGCATGCCACACGGCCGCTTTCACTGGATCAGCTCGAGAAGCATCAACAGGCCGCGGCAGCACAAGCAGGTGTCCGGACATACCCTCCCGACGCTGATCTGGGTGGCTGGCCCGCGCTAGGAGCTCTTCGTCCTGAGCCCCTCGCCAAAGGTCATTCGGCCGCGTCAACGAGGCCCTTGAGCGCGCTTGGAGGCACTTGAGCAGCGGGTGGCGGATAAGGCCGACGGTCGTCTTGGCCCGCGATGCTGAGCGTCGGATCGCGTCCCAGGCGTCTGGGACCGGTGGGGGCTAGTTGTCTCCCCCTCCCGTCTACCCCATGCAGTCCGTACTGAGTACTCAAGGTACTGTAGGCCGTTTGCTTGCTCGCGTTAGCCTGGCACCGGTGCCAGGGAAACAGCACCACCATCCGCGAGCAGGGAGTCTTCTCTGGTAACCAACCCCCCTTGAAGATGCATAACCGTGCCGCAGCGGCCAGGGATCTCGGAACAGGACAGGGTTGCTGGATGACTTGGGAGCGCGTGTGCATCTCCGGTTGGCGGTTGGCAGATGGCAGATGGCTGTTGTAAGACGCCACCCACTCTGGCTGAGCCATTCGAATTGCTGGCGAGCTTTCCAATGACAAAACGAGACGCGGCCTGTCCAATAAGCGCAAGCAGGGCTGATTCTTGTTTTCTTTCTATTTTTTTTTTCTCGTGGCCGCATATGCAGCCCAGTTCATCCACTTGGGAGACAACAAGGCGGGATCAGAGCCGAGGAGACGAGAATCGGCGGTTGGGGAGCGGCCGAGCGCGAGGCGGGCGGAACATGAGGCGAGGAGGAGGTCGGCCAGTGTATCCCGTCTTTCGCCATCGTACGAGCGTTGGAGCATTCGGTGAAGGCTGTGGCTGTCGTTGTAGGTAAGATGCCTAGGATAGTTGTCATGGTCGAGTTTTGCTCCATCTTCGCACATTCAATCTTCCGGTACGGAGTGACTTGATGGCCCCCACCACCTGATCTGTCTCTTACACGGCAGGTGCGACGATGCACAGGAATGTGCAAGTACGAGGTAACCAGTACTTCCGATTGATCAGCAATCTTCGTGCCTCTCATAATCTCATCTTGACTCTACGTAAGGTATCAATTTTCTTCCCTGGCCTGATGCACCGACATCAACATTCTGCCCTTCAGCCGCACCTCGAGCACTCATCCACTCCTCCTTGGGTACTCGTACACCAGAGCTCGATAGCAGTAGGGACGGGAGTGCTCCCTCCTGGTTCTACCTATCGCAGGGCACTCGATCATCGCATGGCCGCCAGGGATGCCCTCGGTCCACGAATCAATGCGTCCTTGGCCGGCCAACTCCCGGGTTTGCTGTGCTGGCAAAGCTTGACACGACACGACACGAGCATCTTCAGCCCCCTCTATACCATGGAGCCGGCGCCTTGTATGCAGGGCAGCCCGTTGATCTCCCTCTTCTCCTCCGAGTGGACGCGTCCCGCCCCTCTGGAGCAAAGACATCTGGCCATATCAAAGCCTGAATGACGCCCCCCCATCTGACATGTAGCGTACATGCCCATACACATCCATGTGTTGTACGACGCACGGGAGCAAAGACGGCCCATATCTGCCCAGTACCACGGGTTGATATTAACAGGACGTAATCCTGCATACACTGTCTGCCGCTCACGCATAACCACTACAACAGGCCTCAGTAATGCCCTGGTATCTGAGGGCTGTGGCTGCCACTTGGTGATCTAGTTCTGACACCAGGCATATTAGCTACAGCCGAGCTTTACCATCTCGAGCATACCATGCATCTTGCGTCCTGCACGACTGACCTACCTTGAGTCTGTGCCGTCTGTGCCAGGATAAGGAATATCATGCCAGCTTGCAATCACAACGACGACATCGCGGGCTGGCAACGGAAGGACGTGCTGACGGATCGTAGGGACAATCCTGAAGCACACACTCACACGCTGAAGTAGACACACAGTCAGATCCATTCCCAGGTGCGGTCTAGTAGGATCCAAGGTCATGGCAACTCCCATCGCAGCGGCTTTTCAGCTGACAAGGAGTCATCCGTCTCCCCCCCGGTCTCCCCTCTCACCGGTCACATAGGATGAGAGCCAGGGCCTCTCCCTCGCCCCAATACGATCCAATGGAGATGCTTCATTAACATTTGATATATGACGAGACGGGATGTGGTGCGGATACAGACAGCGTACTTGGACGGCATCTGCCAACTTGCAAGCCGTGGTACAGGAATCTATCTGCTCGTGGTACTATATCCTGTATTGAAATGGTCGACGCCAACAGCGGGTTTGCCGTTCAGAGCACCAGGTCTCCCGAATGCTTCATAGCCAGCTATCATCTCCGCCGACGTATTGAGTTGCTAAACCACATTCCACAAGAGAGGAAGCCACTCTAAAACCTGCACACCTCATATACAGGCGGCCCTCTCATCTGGCATCAACGCATGAAAATTGCATGCCACACCCACCCTAGAACACCACCAATCAGAACCAGATTACATGAAATTGCCTCCTCACATTAATATGCTCGTTTACCGTGCTAATGACGAGGTACTATACTCTCCTTCTCCGCGGCCAGTCTGCTCTCCCCCACTCCCAGCAAACGCCCAGCCGTGGAAGACTTGTCTGCGACCCAATAAGATGGAAGAATCATGAAACAATTTTTCTCCAGCGATGGACGAAATGTGCTATTCTGTCCTTACGGATAGAAGCAGGAAGTTGAGCTCGGAGCACTTCAATGCCCGCTCACATCCACCTCGAATAAATCAAGACATCGGTTATCGGGACCAGAACAACCCAGAACAGCGAGCGTGTGTCATGGAAGAGACATTTGGGGAAGCAAAGCGGTAGCAATCGAAGCAAGCCCTTCTTTAAAACCTTACAACTTTATAGCATTCATCATAATCTGCCGTACTACTTACTTTCTTTACTACCTAGCTGACTACTTACTACCTATCCAAACACTCCCACCACCAGTGAAGGGAACCCCCTTACATCTATTCTATAAAGTGCTGCTCTTCTCATCTCGACTCTTCCTCTCTTATTGCCTAAACCTCTCCTCTACTTCCTCGCCCACCAGAATTCTTGTCAAATTCTCCCCCACTTCAACTCTTTGCTATCTTGCTTGCATTCCATGAATGAAACTTGAAATAAAAAAAGGGGGGGTATAATCTAATTTGCGTCGTAAAGACCACGTGAAAAGGAGGAAGGGGGAAGGAGATATATGTATGTATGTATGTATATATATGTATGTATGTGTTTGTGTTTGTGTATAGAGAAGGCTCGAAAAATAGAAGGGGGGCCATAAGGAGCAGAGTAGAAAAGAAAAGAAAAGAAAAGAAAAAAAGGAAGAAGAAACAAAAGGTAACTTCAAAAGGGTGGTAAAGGAGCGCGCAAATAAAGAAGAAAACAGCAATCCGTTTCACATGATTCTCCTCAAACTCATTTCTCATTTCGTCTTTTTTTCTTCTTGAATTCGTCCTTTGATCATTTTTTGTCTTTCAATCATCCCCTTTTCTTCAATAATCGCTGTTCTGGCCGGGACTCATCATGCCGCTGACGGGCGTGTTCTCGCCGTTGGAAGCAAACGTCTGGTCAATCCTAAAGATCCAATCCGTCTTGTCGCGCTCGCTGCGCGCCGCAAACAGCCACGTGTTGTCCGTCCCGTAAATCGCAAACACGGCCGCCTGCATGCGCTCGCTGAGTCTCTGCATTCCCTGGCTGCCAGAGGAGCCTGCGCCGTTGGCCGCGGCCGTCCACACCGTCGAAATCACCCGTCCCGAAGCCGTGCGTCGGTGGCCGGGCGTGAATTCCGGTGTGTTGCTGTTGTTATTGGAGTTTCGTGGCGGTGAGTCGTAGTCGTCCGGCCCGTGCAGTAAGCCGAGCACGCCCGGCTGGCTGTCTACGCGGGCGTTGCGCAGGCTCACGAGGCCGACTTCGTCGCCGTCTGAGGCGGAGTAG